GTTTTGAAAATTATTTTTGGAGATTTTATAAATTATTCTCATTTTTGAAAAAACTTATCCTTAACAGAGGTTTTAGAACTTAAAAATCAACATTTTCTTTTCATGTGCCAACATAGTTAGGCTTAAATTCTCAATTGGTGCCATGGGTTTAATATGAGCTTAAGTACTATCATGTGCCAGCTAATCTGGATTTAATTCTCATAATGTGCCAGCTAATCAAATCTCTTTATTTCTTTTTTCACCTTAAAGTTTGCAAATATCATGATATGATTGTCAATGTATCCTACTAAGATGCAAAACCTTATCTCACTAACATAAATACAAATGCTTTCCAACAAAATGCAAATGCACGTATCTATCCCAATAAATTAGATGCAAATGTCCTTTTTTATCATATTTCTTAATATATTCAAAAATTTTAATTAAATGATGCAAATATTTGTAAATGTCAAATATCTAAATACTTACCAAATACACAAATGCATGGTTTTAACTATAATTCAAATGTAATATTCAACAATGATTTACATGATCACAAAATGATACAAATGCATGGTGCAAACAATGATGCCAATGCAATTTTCAAAATGATGATTTAAATATTCACCAAATAATGCATGGCCCAATCAATTATGCAATTTACAAATTCATCAAATGATGCAAATGTATGATCCAAACAATTATGCAATTTATAAATTTTTAAATGATGCAAATGCATGATCCAAACAATTATGCAAATGTAATTATTAAAACCCAGATTTGTACATTTACCAAATGATGCAAATGCAATTATTAAAATAAAGTATTTTTGTTACCCCAGAAAGTCACTCTTGTCATATTGATTTGGAAATAAGATTTCTCCTATCCATTAAAATTCGTATATACAATAACCTAAATTTGAATTTTTTTTAAATCTCCCAAAAAAATAGTAACAATTATCTAAAAAATGCCCCACATAACAATTTTCTATGACCAAAATGTATCAGTTCTTTTAAAATAGAGTAAATAGCACATGTGGCCCTTAAATTTTAGACCAAATTCTATATTAAATTTTTTAAAAAAATTTAATTAAATCCTTAATTGTCCAAACATGTATCAAAGTAGTCTCTTCATCTACTGTATTATCTAAAATTAATAAAAAAATTCAGTGTCGCATGACATATAACCTTACAATCAATGATAGATGTATTATGGGTATTTTACTTGGTTGAATAGGTGTGGCTCTTTCTCTTCAACCTCAAATACATCATTTGTATGGGTAAAAAACTTCAAAGCAATAGCTTTTAGTTTTCATTCTAAACTTCCTTTTCTTGTCCAACATCTCTTTAAATTCCTTTTTTTTTCAAACCTAATCAATATCAACAGTACTAACCTAAAAGCCAACATTTACCACCACGAGTTATCCATTTTTTCATTGTCGACCGTCAATCTCGTTAGTGACCACTGTCGATCTTCGTGCTTATACCAAAAACTTCTTTCAAATCCCCATTTCTTTTTACCAACCAAGACCCAGCTACAACCCAAATCTCACCAAATTTGGCCCTTTTTTTCTGTTTGGAAAACCCAAACAAAACCATTAAACTCTGAAAAATTTTACTATCAGACATTTTTTTTGCAATGCCTCTCTATTTGCATTCAGCTTTTGTTTAATCTTAATGGGTTATGTTTTCTGGGTTAATAACTCTTGATTTTCTACAAATTGATTTAGCTTATGGTCAATTATTAGGTGTAGTTACTTATAGGTTATGGGTATGGATGATTTTGGGTTTGCTTGTTGGTGTTATGGGTTTTTGCTAAATTAGAGATTGTGGATTAATTAGGTGATGATTTTTTGATTGGTGATTTTTGGTAGGTTTCTAGGTATGGGTTTGATGAATTTTTGATTTGAAGGCTAATTGAATTTGCTGCTGAATTGCTTAAATGTCTATTGCCAAATTACTTCCCCTGTTTATTGCTTAATGTGTGCTTAATTGCTTCTGTCTTTGATTGCTTGTTGTTTGTCTCTCCAATTGTTTGATTCCTCATTTGGTTGAGAATTCTTTTGCTTAAAATCAAAGACAAAATATTAACCTTACACGTACTACAAATTTGTAAGGGTATGTGTAATGCTATGCTGGATTTATGTTTTGCCACATTAGATTTTTCATCAATTTAGATGATTCAACAGACAAATAGACTATATTGATACATGTTTGGGTAATTGAAGACTCAATTAGAACTTTTTAAAGTTAGGGACCAATATAGAATTTAACCTAAAATTTAAGAACCATGCATGCTATTTACTTTTTAAAATATGTGACACTTAGATCTATTGACAACTAGTGATTACTAGCTAGAATGAATTAGGTGAATTGCATCTTAATATTTCCAAAGGGACAAAATAGTTTGGCATATTAAGATTTTAGTTACTAAAAAAGATTTTGTCATTAGATGGGAAAAAGCAAATCACTATTTCTTCGTCTAGGCTCACAAAGGAAAAGTTATCTTTTAAAATATATTTCACTTTTGCACTCTCTTAATTTCTCAATATGGTATTTTAACAAATGTCAAAATTAGTTATGATAAACTCAAAATTTTCAAGAAAAAAAGAAAAACTCAAATTTCAGAATAAATCTTCAAACTGGGTTGATTTTTTTGGGTTTTTCAAAAGTTTCCTATTCTCGTTGGTTCATTCAAAATACCTTTTTCTAATGTTTCTTACATTAGTTGCTTTTAAAATTTCAACCTTGCTCTAGATTTCTTTTTCGGGTTTTCATCATAGAGCTTCATTCAATCTTCCTTTCTTCTTTTCTTTCTTTTTTCCTTTTCTTTTTTTTTACTATTCATCATACATTTAAAAACTCAAAATTCATCAAAAAAAAAAAAGTGATGGTGATTTTAAAAAAAAAAACTCTTCGATTTAGATATCAACACTTGATCAAAATATACCTTCAAAAGATGTAACGTAAGCCGATGTTTGAGATTCTAAAAAAAAGATAAATAGGGCCAAAAATATATTTTTAAAGATAATCAAATAAATTATCATTTCTTTTCTCACAAACATTTTCCTTTCCACATTTTTCATCTTTCTTTTTTCATTTCTTTCATTTAATTTTTTTCGTTTCTTTTTTCTTTCATATTTCCATTCTAACCAAAGGCCAAAATTTTGGAACTTGCTTTTTATTGTAAGCATTCTTTCTTTATCCTTAACTTTGGATCTAATGCTTTCTTAAATAAATCATCTTTCATACTTGCCTCCAGGTGGAAGGTGATCTTTATTTAGGATTTCTTCAAAAAAAATTTTAATAAGTTTAAAAGGGATAATAAATGAATATTTTCTTTTTTGTGAACAGAATATGAAATATGATTATTTATCATATCAAATATGAATATCTCTATTGAATTGCAATTTTTGGGAGAAGTGTTTTTTACTCTTTGATTTTGAAATAATTTAAATACCTTATACGCATGATGTTACAATCAATTCTTTGCTTTTTATTTTTTCATTTGCTTTTTATTTTTTTACAACTCAAGCTCAAAATGTATCATCTTACTATATCATATGAAGTCATAATGTAATAATCTTCATTTTTACAACCCACACCTAATGTTTATATAATCTCCATTTAACAAGAAATGAATGAATGACCATCCATATCAAAAGATATTGAAAATTGTGGATAATTTAGCTTTTTGGTACATTTACCCTAACATGTGGTAAAGGAAAATTTTGGAGTAATGAAAGAAAAAACAATGTTGCATAAATCAATATGTCAAACAAGGGTATTGATGGGATATGATCTTTTCAATAATTATGACTCAAGGAAAAAAATTGAAAAGTTTAAGCTTTGTGTAAAAACTTGGGTAGTGATGTGTTTAAAATCATCTTAACACCTATTAAATTACCAAAATCTAAAATCTTTAATAGAATGATTTATGTCTTGACTTACAAAGAATTTTTCAAAAAAAAAAAAAGCAAATTTTATTGCTCATAGCTTTGATAAAAATCATTAACTTATAAATCCCATTTTGTCTAATGAAAATTAAGATTGTGAGACTTGTGATGTCAAGTTTAAATGATGTGATCCTCAATTGAATCAAGATATGAAATAGTAAGTAAAACAACTAGATAAGATCATTCTTGATTGAGCTAAATTAAAATATATAAAACGTAAAAGAGGAAATTTTAACCCAAAATTTATTGCTCTCCATGCAATTACACCAAAAACAAATCAAAGAAAAAATTTCTACAAAAAAAAAATGTAATTTGGAGAAAAAAAAAAAGATAAAAACAAATCAATTATATATATATATTTATTTATTTATATGCTTTGTAGTAAATTTTGACCAAAAAAAGAAGGTTGGATAATCATTTTCACAAAATAGAAAATTTTCTGTTTTATTAACAAAGCTGACACTATGAACCAAGAAATGGTTGACTCATTCTGTGAACATCGTTAATATTTACATGAATAAAACAATTTATATTCAATATGGTAATTGGGGATTACTAAAAGTTATCTATTTGAATTATGAGCATTGAAAAATAAAATAAGAATGTCAAACGATCCCGTGATGAAATCAACGACCATAAGGAAATGAAGTTACGATCCTTAAATTACAGTAAAATGTTTAATATATACTCGAAATTTAAAAATATCTAATATGATACCTAAACTATGAATATTTTAATTAATATGATATTAATCTCTAACATAATTAATTCTAAATAATAATACGTGACGAATAAATAACCCTTCAAAAAATATATTAATCAATATATTTATAATTCAAATATCATATTAAAAATTTTTTAAATTTAAATATCATATTAAATATTTCACTAGAGGCCATTCATGACATATCCCTAAATAAATACTAAAGCTATATTCAATATGGTAATTGAGGATTACTTTCTTAATTCTCCTATAGAGATTAAAATTTCTTTCAAAATCAATCCAATTCCAAAGGTAAGAGATTGAATTCCATTCAGCATAAGTGAAGCCACAACACAGCAAATAGAGAAATTCAATAAAAAGCACATTAGAATAACCATTTATTTACCAATACAAAAGCTATTACAAGGTAACAATTTTCTCTTTCTTTCTTATTTCCTTTAGTTTTAGGGAACAGTCATTGAATTTTTTTTTTTTTTTTCACTTGGAAGATTTCAACCACAGCTACTATACTTATTAAACATACTCACCTCCAGAACTCTCAGTTTTAATCATTCTCTTATTTTGTGTCGATATGAGACGTCTAGTTTCTTTATGTTTAGGCAGTCTCACCCCCTTGTCTTCGTTCTTTATCAGCTTTGCAGCCACAGACTTCAGACCAGTCTTCATGCAATTCACAACAAATGTGACGAACTCTCTGCGGAACACAGGTTTAGAATAGTTATTTCACAAAAACATTTATCCATCTGAAAAAATAACTCTTTAAAGTAGTTTGGTTAGCAGCAAATATCATCTAATGCAATGCTTGGAATGGGAGAAGAAAACAGATGGAAGCAAAATGTTTTAATTTTTTTTGGTACTAATCAAAATATTTAATATCCCAGCTGCTGAGATGCTATCATAGAGAAATTCAAGAAACAACCCAAAGTAGAATCTTGCTAGGAAATTGAAGATTTCAACCGTGATCGACTAAAAGGTCTCGCACTATTGTTGCAAAGCGACAAGATGAATATAGCATAATTTTGCCTGGTTATAGACTCGTCTGAGTATAGTCTGGCTATCATAGCAGCAGAATGAGAACCATCTTGACAAAAATCAGGCTGTCTTATCGCAAACTTTTAGGTTTTTCTAGATTAAGAAATGATGATGATGTTGTAAGAATGCTCCTTTCTAGCCTATGCTAAAGCAAAGACCTTCCTAAATATTAGGAATAAAGCTTATATGACTACTTTGTAGAACACCCACAGCCAGGGCAAAAAGTTGATCTGCATTCTGATTCTCTAGGATTACATGGTCAGTGGATGACAAAGATTACAATGATGAAGAAAAGCACAGCCACATTATTGTAACTGAAGATTAATAAGTAATAGAAAACCTCCCACAGCCTGGCAGTGACTGGGCCTCAAACACATCAAATCCAAACATACCAGACAAAAGAGAACCAATTCTTGAACATTCCAAGGGACAGAAAAGATAAAATGTTATTGCTAGGTATAAAAACTTTGGTAAAATTTTAATTTAAAATCTACAATCTCAAAAGCTTAATTACCTGGAAAATTCTCATAAATTGTTCCCAATTTGTACTCAGACTAATTGATAATAAAAAGACTAAAAGCGTAATCTGAACAGGACCACATAAATAAAAAGAAAATGATTAGAACATCCTAAGCCAAAAGCCTCAAAACTAAGATTTCATTGTTACTGCAACAGACCATAGAATATTTAAAATTAATCACATAAAAAATTTAAACCACTTTGGCTGTCTCAATCTTGATAATCATTTAATCTTAAGCATCCTATTTCCTACATAAAATCGCATAAAAAATGTTATAACCATATTCCACTCAGGACACAAGAAGCTCAAGGAAAAACAAAGTTGAAGATGAAAACAATGACTTCCTTCTGTTCCTGCTTTCATATTTCTTTATGCAAGATTTATGCAGGCTTATTGTATCTCATTTAAAAAAGGTCTTAAAGGTTATAGATAATCAGTAATTAGGATCCAAATAAATTAGTAGAAGGGTTGGTATTTTTACCAATCTAGCAAACATTATAATAGGGTATTCTATGCCATGATTGGAGTCAGAAACCCTATTTACGTTCCCAAAAAAATAGCAAGATTTGTTCATGGAGCATAAGCAATCTCTGGTCGATGCCTCTATTGACGAAATCATATATACACCTCATTTAGAATGTGAAAAAGAGAGAATAGCTGTCCGGTTTGAAATTCATAATTTAAATCAACACCCTCCCAAGTCCTGGTAATACCGTAGGAACTGAATCCTATTTATCACTCCTAAAGATACAGTGACAATTGGAACTTTAACAACAGTAAAGGTGTGAAAACCATCTACCGCACTGCAAAAGCAATATGTTTCTTATGCTTCATTTGGAAATGCAGTGCGAGGGGGTTCCCACCACACCTCCAGACAATCTCTTAGTTGACTGAACAGAAAGTTGAGCATGGCCCTAAATATTTTCTGTTCAACTTGTAATGACCTCTCTTTTTCCAGTTGTATGTCCTGATTTTGAAATTGCTATGTACTCCCCATAGTGGTAGTTGTAATGATCAATTAAAAAGTAAGGGTAAAACCTAGTTCTCTAGCAACTCTGCCTGTTTCTCTTTAGCAGGCTCAGTAATTATTATAAAATACTTAGAAGTTTTATATTTTTATATGGTAACAAGTATGATCAAAAGGTACATTTTAGACTTACAATGGTGAGCAAGGAGAACGACCGCCATTTAAGTAGAAAACGAACAAATATGAATCATAATGCTGACCATTGATGAAGTAAAACCCCTGCAACCTCCGCACACACTTGAATGACATCTTCTTGTATAAATGAATGGCTGGATTATTGTATGAAATCACATGCAAGTAAACTGCACGGCATACTGGGATGCTCGATGCATATTTAATAACCTCATGGATAAGTGCTGTAGCTGTTGATCCAAAGCCAAGCAAATTTTGGTCATAGGGTGAAGACAAATTTTAAAAAATGGAAAAGGAAAAGGAGAAAGAAGAACCATTACTAGAGAAAAAGGCTCCTACCTATGCCAAGATTTCTGTAAGCTTCTACTACTCCCAGTGTCAGAATATATACTAATGTTTGATCCACCTTTGTTGAGTCATAGCTGAGCAAATCCGCTATCTGCAATGAAGGTGTTGGTTGAAATGAATTGCATGATTTAGAAACAATTTATCAACCAGAAGCAAACATTCAAATACTTTATAAAAAAAAGGACAAATATTTGAAACCCAAAAACAGAAGCAAAAATTTGAATGTCAGCATTATTTTTCCACAATAATATTCAAGATTGAATCTATTCCTTTACAGAATCACAACAAACAACTTTTATATTAATGGGTCCTACTTATTCAAACATTTTAAGGCTCTGCTTAAGCAACAATTCAACCACCAATAAAAAGCCATTAATGCATTATATACACTTAGGCACATAGATGACACACCTCACTATCCTTTGCCAGTACAATTCTTGCAGTAACAAATCCAATAGGCTCATCACTTTTACCATTGGGTCGACTGCGATCAACAGCTGCCCACGACACAATATCACGTCCATTCACAACATTTTGGAAAAACTCAGACTCGTACCTGAAGAGATCAATACCTTTGCTTGAATATGCAAGAAATACTATTTACTGAAGACCCTCAGTAGAAAACAGATGCATGTCCTACCTGACAGGAAATAAGTCACTGTGGATTTGCTCTAAAATCTCTAAATCAGATGGTTGGATGGGCCTGTAGCAGATGGTAGGACGATGCGAGATTTTGGGGTTCACCATCGAGGATTGTATCATTAATCCCCAAGAAAGATGGGATAAATATTGAGAAATTGTAAAAAAATTCCTCCTTCCATTTATGCAGCATCAGCTGCAATCGCCATGCAGCACTCCATGAAAACTGAAAGAAATTTTCACATTCCATTAGTTCCTTCTGATGTCAAATACATCCCATGCCACAACCCCAGCTGAAAAACACAAAATCACAACCCACAGACACAACAGGGAGAAAAAGGTCCCTTCCTTTTATAGCTAGTACACCATTCTTTACAACATTAGGAAACTTTAGGTAAAAAAAAAAAAACTGATAGTTAACTTGAAAACTTAACAGCCTTACCATTACAAAATCAAGCAATTTTTCACATGATGTGATTGAACTGTGTAATTGTTACTTTTGATATTTGCTTTTACATCTGAAAACCGAAAGTAAAAACTATTTTTTAATACAAAATCAAACGATCTTTTTGAAGAATTAACGATTAAAAGGGTATTCCCTTTTAAATTGCTTTCTAAACTCATCACTCAAATTGTTTATTTTTTGTCTAAAAACCAAACAAAACAAAACCCAAAATTCCAAATACCCCAAAACCAGGAACCAAAGGATTAACACTCCAAAACCCAAGTTGGAAATGAACCCAAATCAGTAAATTAGAAAAAGATCCAACGAACAGAGACCATTTATTCATAACAGCAAAACTACAAACAAAACCATTCAAAAGCCATTGAAAATTTTGTAAAAGAGAGGATAGTTACATACCCGGAGAATCTCAGGCTAGAACAAAGATCACAGCGTGAAGAACTGGAAAAGGATCGTGGGAATTCAAAGGGTTAAACAGAAGGCTTTTTGTCTTTTTATTTTATTTGTTGACCACTGAAATGGGGCAAAGGGAAACGACTGAGAAACATGCGACCGGAGACCGAACCCGGGGATTTTGTCTTCTTGATAATTGGTTTTTTTGAGTGTTGTTGATGATTGTTGATGAATTAGAGTCCTGTTTAAAAAGTTTGAAAATCAAATAAATGAAACAATGAGATAAAATAGAAGTAAATGACTAGATTCTTCAATTAGATTTTTAAGCTATAGAAACTCCACGTGAAAGGTATCCCTATCTTCGGCATAAAAAAAAAGTTTAGAATAATTTATATTCTTTGAAATAACATGCAAGCAATTTAACATACCATATAATAATATGATAAAATATTTAAAATTTTAATAATAATTATATATAAATTTAATAAAATAGATAAATATATTTTATATTTTTATATTGATAAAATTATAATTAATAAATTATATAAAATATGAAATAAATATATAAATTTTAATATTTTATATTATAAAAATATATAAATTATCAAATCTAATTGAAATTAATATAATTTTATATGATTAGATATTTAGATTTAGCTTGAGAAGTTAATAGATTAAGAAAAAAAATTATTTTTATTTATTTTTAATTAAAAATATATGTAAAAATAACTTAAAATATTTTTTGATAAATTTATAAATACAAATTATTATGATATAATATTTTTAATTTTATTGATTTTTGGATATTCTAATAATGCATGCGATAATTTTTTACTTTTTTGTTAATTTTTTTAATCTAAAAATCAATAATTAAAACTATAATTCAACATTTGACTTATAAGATAGTGGCATTGATCTTGCTATTTAGTAATATTTAAGTCATAATTTTGATAAATTGTGGAATAAAGTGTACATGGTGATGAAGAGAAGACCACTTCATATTTTAAACAATCAACAAGAAGACTGAGGGCAATCGAGGTGCAAATTTCCCAGCTATGTTTGATATGATCGATTTTTTTTTTTTAACTGTTTTTAATAAAAAAAAATAGGATAGACAAAAATAGAAAATCAATAAAAAATAAAGAACAAATAAATAAAAAAAATAAAAGTAACACGTGTATGAAACGAAATTTGAATGGATTGTCAACAAAAGTGATAAATTAGTATAATGTTTGATTTTAATATCAGAATTCAATATTTGATAATCTCAAATATAAAAAATTAAAATTAAAATTAAATATTATGTCTATGCTAAGCTTCATCAGAAATTACGATCTTTGGTACCCCCGCCAACAAACCTCTTTCAATATTTACAAATAATCTTAAAATAATATGTACATAACTAGGATTGATAATTTAATCCATCTCTAACAAATTTTGATCCAATCTGACACTACAAAATCGATTTTTTTTTTGAAATTTAAGTTTCGAATCAAATCAAATCGGATAAAATTATGAAACAATCGAAATCAAATTCAAATTTTAAACAAATTCGATCCGATTCAATATTATATAAAAAATTATTTTTTAATTAATTATTTAATTTTTTATTTATATATATTTATATAATGATATTTTTAAATATTTATATTTTAAAAATAATATTTTATTAATTTTAATTCGAATTAGATCGAATGCGATTTATATAATATAAGGTCGGAATTGAGTTCGAGTATGGAAAAACAAAAAAAATTCAAGTAAAATCGAATTCGAGTTTGATAACACATAAAATCGAATCGGATTCGGGGCAAGCAAAACCCGTCTTGAACCCGCCCGATGTCAATTTTATACATAACTTTTCCTGCCATAAATAAAATAATATACATTATCTGTCAATAGAAAATATACATTATCTGTCAATAAAAAATGCTAGATTTCAAACGGAAAACTTGACTGATTCATATAATCATTTTTACGAGATGACATTCAATCAATCTAAAGTTTAAATCTCAATACCTATAACTTTTTTCTTTATTTCAGATTACGGCTTCTTTTGTTAAAAAATAAAATGCTAGGTCTCCAAGTCTTGGGATAACAGCATATCCCTCGACATTTAACACAACCATCAATGAACAAAGGCCTTGATTAACTTATCATGCAATGAAAAAACAAACAATTCTATTGTCATATAAACAAGACAAATCCTGACTTTCAGATGAATGTTCTCAAACCTAATACATGAGAGCGTTAGAAGCTGGTCCAACATTCTTGAACCACCCCGCCACCTGGTTCTGCATTTAATTGTTTGCTCTTGCTCAAAAGACAGCAAGAATTTTCTCCTACAGAATGAGCTCTTGATATTTTCTCATTCGTTATATTAGAATAATCTGCCTCACAACATTCTCCAATGGCAAGCCAGGGTAAGGGTACAGAACAAATCTATTTAATCAAACATACCCCAAAAGGAAAAAAAGCATATTCACAACTCGTAGTCGTATATGGTTTATATGACAACATTTTCGTCATCTCCAGCTTCATCCCTCGAAGCTCAATCAGACTTCCATCTTACCATTTTAATAACCTTCAAAAGGCAACCACTGTGACACATATGCATACAATAAGTAAAGTCCATAGCCATACTTACGCGGGCATTTAGGTTAGCATGGTCTTTCTCTTCTGTTTCTTCTCTACTTTGACATGACTATTGGTGTTACTTTCCTTACAAAAGGTGAAGCACCAATAAATAACAACTTCCAATCACAAAGGCAGAAATGCAGAGCATAAATGTATGTGCAGAAAATTAATAAAGTGAAGCTCATCCCTCAAGGTCTGTGAGACATAAAAGGAAGATGCAAATAGCCGGTATACATTTGCTTATAATATTTTTTTTCCTAATTATGATCAACTTTTAGCATATATTTCAAGAAATGTAGGGTGGTATTGGCCTATTGGGAACTGTTCCTTAACAATTACACATATAGCATTCATTTGAGAGGAAACTACTATTGACAGTAATCCAATAGCATAATTTTACTGAAGAAGACTGAGAGGTTTGTTCAAGATGATATTGTCATCAGACTCATCACTTAAGAGTTAGGTGGGATCTTTTGCATAGACGAAAAGAAATTCATCTCCAACACTGTCAGAAAAGTCCAATTTCGAATGATATTGAGAACTCAATCTAAATACTTTTCCTCAGTGGACCACACTTTCCATACAAAATAAAAAATTTAATGAACTCTCATCTTCAAAATCCAAACCTAAAAATATAAGTAGAAAAGCAAAAAATTCCTAGGACCATCTACCTATGGTGATTAGATAATCATAAAAACAGAGAATGAGTCCTCATATAAGTAAATGTATAAATTGGTATGAAAAACACATTGTTAAATTCATTTAATGAAATATGTGATGACTATAACATTTTATGTACACTGTACCTTAAATCATTGGAACTCAAAAAACATTAGCAGTCATGAATCGATGATTGACAACAGCTTCTGCAATTGGCCGTTTTTGAAAGTCTGGATTGAGCATTGCCTGCAAGGAGATGAAAATCTATTAGAGCCAAATTGCAATAAAGATAATAGATAACAAGGCTATGAACCTACTCAAGGTAAAAAAGATCCATATCATATTTACTAAAGTTCAATAAAATTAAACAAAATTAATACATTTACTCCAGGTATTTTCTGGTTATTAACCTCCTCTACGGGCTAGCACCTTCTTTGACCATGCTTTAGGATAAATTTTTTAACACACCTACTAGTCACAAAAAATGACAAATTATGCTACTTGATAGAGAAGAGGAAAGTATGTAATATAAATTTCAGATTGCAACTAACCTGAAGTAGTTCCCAACCAGCACCATCACCAAGATCTAGAAATTTGACAGCTTCTAACAACCGGTCATCTGCCAAACAATACCTGCACACATAAACACAGAAGAATAAAAAATAAGGGTAAAATGGAGGTAGTTAGTCAAACTTAAAGCAGCTGAAAAAGAGGAATAAACGGTTTGGCAGAACAAATAATGTGTTATGGCTGAAACAAGGATACGACTTGGACATTGATTCCACTAGCTAAAATGAAAATTTGAAACCCTGAAATGAAGTTTTTCATTTTCTCACAAGTCATGTCTAGAAAGAGAGAGATAATCATTTTATATTTCTCCATGGCTGTCCAAAATAACCTACATGTAGGGAAAACTTCAGAACTTTTGCCTCATAAATTAGAAAAAAAAAAAAGTGCATCCAAATTTGTGGTGTACATGAAAATCAAGTCCTTTCAGCCTTTTTATGTGACTGCTTCCTCCTTTAAGTCATTAAGGGGGTGATATTTTTTACAAGTTATAGAACTTCTGAAGGCAGTCAATAGTATACTACCAAATAATCAAAAGATGCTGTCCTAACAAATAGGCACTAAACACTTCATTGTTCGATAAACTGACTAGTATTATGATCATGTGATAATAAAATGGAACAGTATGCCTCTCAGTACAAGCAGTACTTGTTTTGAGGATTTGAAAGGCTTACTCTCTTGTAGCCATGAGATCGAGTTTGAAAGTGCTTTCCAAAAGCCGCTGACAATACATGAAATGACAATTAGTTCGGTCAGAGAATTGCTCATTTTTTATTAATTAATTCATTTTTCTGAAGCATGCTTATATACAATGGGCAGAACCAAAACATTTTAAAAGGAAGTAATGATATAACTATTGGTTACTTGCACTGAAAGGCTATCCATGATCCCTGCTTCACAAAATGGAACAAAAGCCAAGTATGCAAAAAGAAGACCTGCTTCATATCTGTCTAGAGACAACAAAACAAATTAATTTTTGGTATAAATAGCCGATAGAGTGCCACCAAAATCAAAATATTACATGTCATCTGCAATTCCAAAGGCTCTTCTCTCCATAGGTGTCAATGCACCAGCAGAAGATGCCCTTCTCCAAAGATCCTCTAAGAATGTGCTAGGACCTTCTTCCAAATATGAAAACCTAGAAAGCAAAATGCCATATTATTGAATATAAATAGCTCTATGTTGAAAAATTAAAGCAATGCCATGCAATATTTAATGATGTATTTCCCTTCTTTTCAAAAGAAAACTCTAATTCGCAAAGAGGGAACTAAGATGTACTTTTTATTTTAAATAGATGATACATACATGCTTATATAAAGGGAATATTAACCTTATTCTCAACAAGATTGGTGATTTTCTTGCAGCCTTCAGAAGTATCATATTATAGCTTTAAAAGCTAGGGGTCTAATCCGCCTTTAGGTCAAACAACCATCCATTGTAATGTCATGCAAAAGGAGCTTAATCTAAAATATTCAAAATTTCTCTAAAAACTGAGTCCCTTCTGTCAATATCTCACTCTTTCTACCATGATTTAGTACACATGTAATGATTATGCAATGGCCATCTATAGGACAAAGATATATCTTGGCTTAGGGGATTGTTAGATCAGTTGGCTGTTAACTATTTAGCCAACAATGAATAAACCAATCTATCCTAGGGAATAAAGTAAAACCTTTGCCCTGGGTTGCGGAACTGCCTCATAATGAAAATCAGATTACATCTTTCTAAAAGGAGATAGGGGGAGGGAGAGTGGTGGAAGTGGAAAAGACAAAGAACAACATAGCATTACCTGATGTCAACCGAAAAGGCTAGATCTCGAAGCCTTGGAACTAGATAAGCAGCATCTCTTTCTACTATTGTACTGACATCATTCAATAAAAAGGAAGATTAAACTTTAAAGTGAGCAGAATAAACCAATCGTCTTTTAAGGAGGATAAATCCAGACATCAAATGAATATTGTCAAACACAATACTTGAGTACAACAGAAGCAGGTCCAAGACTCTGGTGCAGTCTTTCATTATTATGCATATAGGCTAAACCACTCATAGCACCTTGGAATAGCCTAATGACAAAGTATGTTCTGCGTTTAAATGCTTGCTCTTGCTCAAAAGGATTCCAAGACTTCTCTTTTAGAGAACGGGCTCTCAATATTTTCTCACTAGTTAATTTGGCAAAGTCCGCTGCACTATATTTACCATCATCGCGGAAGGCAAGCCACTGTACAGAACAAAGTACTTTATTTCTAAAGTTACTAAAAGGAAAAAGCAACTTGACAACTCATATATAGTTTATATGAAATGACAGACCTGCTCCCCTGTTTTTGTCTCAAATCCACCAAGAAGTAACAGAAGATTCTTACATATACCTTCAGAACTGCTCTGTTAAACAGGTGCTTAATCAAGATAAATCAGTATCATTCCTTTAACCTTCAGACTAATAAATTGCAATTATCAAGATACACTTATTGTTCCACTTCATTTTACCTGGAGGAAAGCATGAGCATTGAGTTCATTGGCCGCCATCATATCAGCCTCAATACCAGCAGCTCGTTGTCCAGGGTAAACCTTCATAGCCAAAAGTTTTAGTAAATTGAATATAATAATCAAATGGTTAACAATACCATATGGTCTATGAGCCTAATTTGTGATCCAATTTAGATTAGAGATTTTTGTTGGTTCTTTGTGTGGCAGATGAGCTAACACTAAATGCAGGCAAAGAGGCTATTTTCTGCCATTTTCAGACAGCTATCTTCCACTTATATGGTGAGATTGGGTCTAGATATATAAACAATATCAGCAAGCAATTAAGTCTCCACTCTCAAGAGTTAATTTGAAATATGAATAAAGAAAAGGATATCAACAAAACTTCTCACATTGCTTTAGAGAAAATTTGGTGGACAAAATTAACTTCCAATCATTTAAACTCCACATAATGATGCTATGGTACATTAACTCAAAGGCTATGCCCCACAACGACAAGTTATTCAGATACTTTCTTTCTATTTGTATGGACTGATCAACCCAGTGCTTACAATTGACACAAAAAGAATCCTAATAACTTGTCCCAGCAAAGTGTCACCTATAAAGAACTCTAAAGCATAGATCAGGATAGAATTTTAAATAAATATTAAACACAAAGTTAATTTCATGTTAAATGTGTGATATACTCACTTTTTGTTCTACCATGTGAAACTATGGATGATAAAATGGGTGATTATTGAGGAAAATATATAAATAATATCACCTTAAAGATCACTGGTGTGCCTTTAAATGGACCCTGAGCTATTCTTCCTTCATAAAGCCTGCAGATGGACTGCCATGAATGGCATCAGTAGGAAGAAGGAAAAGATTCTGCAAGTTTCATTAACAGTAGCTAACATTTTCTGCTTATTTGTGTCCATGTGCATGCTTGTATTGGTAGAAATGCACCTGATTTTTACACTCCCTTCTCCAACATCTTGAACTCTTAATTGCCCCAAGTCTCCAGATGAATATTCAAGATCTGCCCCTGATTGGAACCCTGAATAGCTGGAAAATTTTCAAACCTTTTTCCATGTCATCTTTCAATAAAATTTGTATCAAAACCAAAATTTAACAAGAAATTAAGAATAATGCTTTCCAATCGCAGATTCAAAACCTCATTTAGAAACCATAAAACAGAAAAAGGAAAGAAAGAAAGAAAATTGCATCTTACATTTTCCTTTGCTGCTTCCTAAACCAAGGGAAAGAACACACTGAGTACTGGCTTCAGTATTTGAGGATCCTAACTTTAGGAGCAAACTATTCAAGAATGAAAACCTAAGTTCGATTTCTATCACCATCGATTCACCAAAAATAAAAAAGGAAAAGCTTAAAGTTCCTTTGCTAGGAACCTGACATATACATGCATGTGCATAAACAAAATTATCTACCGCAGTGAGGTTCAGATAACTAATTGATTTGTTCCATCAAAGAACAGCAAGCAGTAACAATCATAGTAATCAGACTCGCCCTTCTTTTTACCTTATTGTTTTGCAATATTTCCTTGGCAAGCAACTGGAAGGTTAAGTACCAAATGGAACATCCGTGAAACATAAACCCAATTTCTTCCACTCTTCTAAATGTTGTCACTTTCTATGCAACAAAAGTAAAGAGCACTTGGCAACCAAAATTACATAGAAGAGAAAGCACATTGATCCAAAATTCTTTACCTTTCTTTTCTCAGCAACCAAACAGAAACTAGAGGTCACCTTAAAACAATACCTAGTAACATTCATGTGCTCCTGAACCTCATCGAAATTAACATCTATCTTTGATGATTTTTAAAATGTTCGACGTGTTCACTAAGAATTATACAATGACATTTCTCATTTTTCCCACACTTTCTTGGCAATTAAATGAAACACAAAATCCAAAATTTTCTATTCTTTTGTTATCTTTCAATTTCACAGAACCAAACAGAAACTACTCGCCTTTTGACTAATGCTTGAACGTTTAACTACCCAATAAAGTTAAATAAAAGAAACGAAAAACATTAAATATCAACACTCAAATGCCTGAAAATTACAAAGAAAACAAGAAGCAATGACTCAAATTCCTTTTCTTTTTCTCATTTATTTTTCCAGGAACCAAACAGAGGATAGAAGTAGAAAAAATTTTCACGAAGAAAACCGAATTACCTAGTAACATTCATGAAACCATAGCTACCAATTAGTCGGCCCACTTCGAATGAGTCGGGGCTGGTAATAAGACTCGCTGTACAGAGCCTACTCGACCGAGTTCGACGATTCACCCAGCTGCTCACTCGCGGTTTTTCCGAAAGGAAAACGGTGGGTTTTCGAAAAAGCGAAAAAAGCATAGAAGTAGAAGAACAGAAGAAATCGGGAGTGGTAAAGAGCATGGCTGTTTCCCTTGTTAAGCTCAGAGGAGCGGAGCTGCTTTTTTTTTTTTTAATCTGAAGATGAAAATGCTATGAACAAGAAAATGGCGGGCCAAAGGATAAGATTTGTTTTTATGGTTGGTCCGCATTATTTTTTCAAATTTTTAAGAGTTTTTTTTATATCAAGGGATCGAATTTTAAATTTTGATTATTAAAATTAAAATTTTAATATTTTATCAATAAATCATGTAATTGTTGATAAAATTTTATATTTTATGTATCTTAATTTTATAAATTTTATTATTATCAATAAATTATAAATTATATGATATTATTTTATTAATTTATCAAAAAATAAAAATTACAAAAATTTTATATGTAATTAAGAATTACTATACAAGTAAAAAATTTTGAACTTACTAAATCATTTTGTATGATTGCAACATGTTTATTTTTAATAATTACTCATAATTGCTTATAATATTTAGGAGATAAAAAAATATATATCATAATTGATGTTATTCCTTGTCATGCATATCTTTTTAAAATGGATAAGTGATCTATTTGAAATTAAATTTTTGAATAGTTATTTAAAATTAAATGCTTTATTTCTCTCTTTCATAAATGGTTCAAGTTAACATTTTAAAGGGTTTTTTGGTGGCTTTGTTCATGTCATTCTTAAGCCTTATAGGTTTGTTTTTTTTTTTTTTAATTTCATTTTCTGCTATTAGATCATTGAAATGAAGTTGACTCTTTGAATATAATAATTCATGAAAATCAACCAAAACCTAAAAAAAAAAAAAAAAATCTAACAAAAAAAAATGCAAAACTAAAAAAATCAACCATTAAACATGGAGCTCCATAGAAAAAAAATTCACCATCATAACTTATCACTTCTTGTCCACTACTAAAGCTCTCATCTTTGTCTTATTTAAAATTGCCTTCACATTGCATAGCAATTTCATCCCAATTTTAGTATTAGAATCTTCTTTTTTGAGATTGCTAGAAGTTCTCCTCCATAAGGGTTTGACTCCGGTTGGATGATGACGTGCATGAAATTAGCTTGGTTAGCGACGGATGAATTGGGATTTAGAGAGAAAAAGGATTTCATTAGGTGAAAGAAAAATGATTAATCTTTAAAGATATGTTTGGATTTAAAGAGATTACTGTTCGATTGTGATTTGTTTGGGTTGTAACGATAGTGGATATGGAAAATTTGAAAAATTAAAGAAAAGGGTTGTGAGGAAGATTTAATAGAGAGAAGAATGATAGAAAAAAAAATAAGAAAAAAAATAAAAGTTAAAAGTTAAAAATTAAAAATTTCTTTATGAGTTCAACAACTAAATTTGATTTTTTTCCAACTCAATAATAAATTTGATTTTCTTTTTTTTTTTTAGTTGTGCAATTTAAAGGGATGTGTGTTTCATAATCTTATTTTTGTTTAAAAAGATCATAAATTATTATAAGTCAATAACATTTAATTTGTAGTATAAAATTAAGTAATCACTTAAACATTTAATTTAAACAAATATATTCGCATATTTAATATTATAATTATTATATTTTATATCAATTTAATATTCATAATATAATAATATTTTAAAACAATGCTCAATGTTAGAATGGTCATTTTTACAGTCTTCTCAAATTATAATATGTTTTTCATGATTTGATAATATTAAATACCTTAAAAGTTTAAGTACAGATTGTAGGAACTAAATATGTTAATTTTTGAACAAATGTTCAATTTCAAGAAAAAGCATATATCAAACATATAGTTACTCAGACTTTCTCAATAGTTTTCAAAGTATTCATTCATCATAATACGTATAAAAAGAAATGATAATGTCTTCCCAAATATATTATCCAGACCTCCTTTAAATTTTTTGAAGATTATTCATGTGATATCAATGATGATTCTCCAAAGAAATAAAAAGAAAGTCTTCGCAATAGAAATTGAAAGAAATATATGAAAAAAAAATCACGAAGTTAATATTCTTGATAAACCCTCGTAAAAGTTTGATTATTATGTCATACACAAAAAAATCAAACTTCCCTAAGAAAACTTGTAAACTTCCTTGAGAAAGATATAGCTTAACTTCCCCAGAGAGTTGTTTGAAAAAAAAACCTCTTTTAATATAAATATATTTTTTAAAAAATTTTTATTCTTTTTTGGTAATTTTTTCCTCGTTCATCAACTATTAGGGTTAGAATCAAAAAGAGTTTTCTATTGTTAGGGTTAGAATCATAAGAGTTTTTTATATCATGATTTATAATGATACAAATTAAATATGCTTTGTTATTGTCATGTGGATCCTCTAAATAAAAAAAACCTTTATAGAATTGTCAAATAAAAGCATTGATTCACTTAAGCAAAGAAATGTTATTGTATTAAAAAAATATTGAAGTAGACGACCATAATGAAAGTTATATTTCCATAAAAGTTAGGTCACTAGTTCGATAATACGACAAGAAAACGTGAAATCTTGAATATCGACTAAAATATTTTAGTTATATATTTGAATTATAGACTTCTTATATTTAGTATTGCTTTGATGCAAACAACAAATTTTCTTACTCACATTATAATTTAAGATAAAAATTAATTATTTTAAAAAATTAAATTTTAATTTTTTAAAGATAACTTTAATTTATTGCATAGATGTTAAATTATTAATTTTTTAATTATAACATAAATATTTGACAATTTCAAAATCTGACTATGGAATTCAAAGTTTTCAATGTAAATAGGTAGTCATTTTAAATTATTCCATATATCATGTGATATAAAATTTTATAAGCAAATTTATAAATTTATTACCTATTAATTTAATTTAAGTATAAATAACAAATAGCAATTAATCTAAAATAAATAAGTGATAATTTTTTTATATATAGTAATGGTTTTCATATTGCTACGTGTCAGTCAGTCTTCTCTTTCTCTTCTGTTCTTTTCCTTTCTTTTTTCTTTTCTTTTCTTTCGAAACAATCACATCAACCCTTCTCATTTACTCAAAAAGTTACTCTTTTCCCTCTCCCCAGACTCCGTTCGCTACCTCCCATCTCCTTACGTACTTGACCGTACAATTACTCTACTTTTTTTCAAAATCTAACTCTTCCTTTGCTCCCATGGCAAATTCACTCATTATCTGATCTTATAACCAATATTTCAGAATACCCTTTTTCTACTTATTCTTAGATTTTTTTTTATTAAAAGTCAAATGGATTCTCCTCATGAATCAATATCAGCAGCAAACGCGGCGGCCGCACGGAACGGCAACACGGTGCCACCGTTTCTGAGCAAAACCTACGATATGGTGGATGACCCATCGACCAACTCGGTTGTGTCGTGGAGTAACAGCAACAATAGCTTCGTTGTGTGGAAAGTGCCGGAGTTTGCAAGGGACCTTTTGCCTAAGTATTTCAAGCACAATAATTTCTCCAGCTTTGTCAGACAGCTCAATACTTATGTGGGTATTTCTTTGCTTTTATGTTTATTCATTTTTTTTTCTCTTATTAGTTTCTAAAGATCGCCATTTTTTATACATATGAAGGCTAATTGGCCCTTAGCTTGAGGTTATAGAAAGTGAGGTAGACCTCATGCTTAGAAGATGAACCTTAGACCACTCAGATGTGAATCCTTCAGGAGGATTGACATTTTGTTGTTTGAGTGGTTATGGATTTATTTGGATTTTAAGGGTTTAGTTTTTTGCCTTTTTTTTTTTTTGGGAATGTTTGGATTGTATGGAAATTTGGGTGTTTCTATATGCGTTTTTGTTTCTGTGAATAGTTTTAAGTTGGTGATGGAGTTGTCATGGAAGGAGAGTTTGCAGAACCCATATGGGTGTTGGATCATGAATTTATAATATAGTTAGTAAGATGAATTGAATGGGATACGCGTTTTATTGAATGGGGATATTGATTTGTTGAAATATAGGAACTGGAAATTGCGACTGTAATATGCTGGTTATGTTTATGATTAACAACAAACTTGAATTTTTTTAGTGTTTTTTGAAATTGGATAATTGATTAGGCCCTTTTCTGTCGGAGTTCCTCTTATAGCCTAGGATTGTCCGTGGCATGTGGATGATTGGTTGAAAAGCATTTTTCCTGGAATACAAATATGGAAGAATTGAGATGAGATATAAAATTTAAAAACTGCATGTTTGGATATATGATATGGGATTCTAGTTGAATGTTTCTAAAGATCGGCCCAAAGGATTCAAAGAGCTGATAAACTCTCATATCTGGCTCCCTGTTAGGTTAAATTTGGAAATTTTGGAATGAGGGTAGCTGAAAGAATTGACTCCTAATGCACTGTAGAGGTTTTGGTGTTTGGTTCAATGGATAGATATCCCAAAAGCATGCTTTGATTTGGTGCAGGACATTTCATTAATAGATTTGGTATGTATAGGTACTTACTTTTCTGTAAAATTTTCGGAGATGGAATCTTCTATAATTTTCTTTACCTAGAAACATTATTTTGAATTTTGCACTTAAATTTTTACTGTCATCCTTGGTTTCCCCCTCCTTTTTTGTTGTTGTTGTTGAGCCCCAAGAGAAAATACACTCATGCAACTTATTCAATACTTATAACTTCAGAAAAATCTTAGTCAGTTAAACCAACAACAATTTTTTTTTAATAAAAGATTATGATATTACTGGAGATTGACGGACTTTGTTTATCTCAAACTTCTTGTCATTAGCCTCACTCATTTAAGTTCATATTTACTTTAAACAAATTCATTAATCATGTTATAGACCTTAACTTACACCTTAAACCTGCTTTTACCCTGCAGTCACAACTGTTAGCTAACTTTTCTTTGTGCTATGATTGTAGTTTCTTCATAGAAAAATCGTTGTTTTAAGTATAACAGCTATCAATATCAAATCTTTTGCATCCTAAGTTGAAATACTAGCATAATTTCTCCATTCTACATGCTTAAAACTCAAAAATAATATTTTAAAGCATAAGTGACATGTATCACATGGAAGGCGGCATTGATGAATCTTACAAAGCATTACCATATTACTTAGAGAATACTTTTTCATACAAAGTTAAATTAATATAAATGGTTCTTGTGGCTGAATCTGTGCTAAAGCCTTTGTTTTGTATTATGGTTGGTTAAGAATAATGAATGGTTTTAATAATCTAGTTTAGATGATACTTATAAACTATGTTTGAGAAAAAAGTGCTGATTTTTTAATAGGGCTGGTCCAAAGTCTGGCCAAAAGCAAATCAAAGATCTGGCATAGTTGGCTGGTTTGCTTTATTGAGTAACTCTTGGTTCATTTTGTGAAATGCGATCATATATCATGTAATCTTGTTTAAGCCCCTCCCTTTTGGTACTCTTCAAGGAGATAATTAGATTCTTTCTTTCTTCTTTTATTCCTCTTCCTCCCTCTAGTTCATTATATTCTTAAATATTTCAAGTATGGTTACATTTAACAATACCATTGTCTGAGTTTGCTGTGATTGATGCAATAGCATTACTAAATTGAATGCACTGAACTTATTCCTATCTACCTTACCGCCCAGGTGTGATGCTGATGAAGTGTAGTTTCTATGCTATTCTAACTTGTTAGATGCAGCAATCTGTGTACTAGCTTGATCTGGTGTACGGCTACATTTGCAATAAATGCCCTACCGAACGTACACCCCTACATGTAGCCCTTTGTATATTTTGACCAATTTTGCTATCCTATAAAATGATAATACTTATTGCCTTTCTTTCTAATAGTCTTCTATGTTGAATTTGAATTAGTTAAAGTATTTTACACATTCATCTATGATGTTTTGGCTTTCATATCAGTAGCTGAAATGTCTAGTACTATTGTTCCATGTGTGTTATTTATATTGATTTCATGTTTCTAAAACAAATTCTAAATGCCTTTACTGTTGTTTATCATCTAAATACTATAAAGTCTGGAGATTTATTTATATTCCGTTATTTGCCTGTAGTTGATCCTTTTTGCTTTGTTCTTGCCTGGTTTAATCTAACTAGATGTGTTTACTTAAAAAATAAGTCAAGAGGAGGCAGAGGCAGATTTACCTATGGATCTAGGGTGTCCATGCACAACCCGACAATAGGAAAATAAGAAAATTTGAAGGAAATTTTTTTCCTGGACACTCCAAAAGTTTCCCATGGACTCCCCAAAGATTGAAAAATAAGAAAATTTGAAGAAGAATTTTCCTTGGAAACCCCGAAATTTTTTCCATGAACATCCTTTCCCTCAATAATTGGTAAATCTATTGGCGATTTTCTTTTATATATATATATATATATATTAAGTAGACACCCAAAAAAAAAAAAAAATCTTGGATCCGCCAGTCAGAGGAAGGGCATCATAAGCTACCATTTTGTTTTAAGGATTTTCCTTGTCAGATACAAAATTTACAGGATTTGCTAAATTGACAATTCATTTCATAATTTTCACATATTAGCTTTCCTTCTTTTGACTTGTTTTTTTAAAGTTATTTTGACTTATTAAAATGTATTTTTAGCCAACAAGTGAACAAAAGCATGATGGAGAGATTATTATTTGTAAGCTGCTGCCATGGGTCATAATTTTTTTTTGTTGGAGATGGTGTATGTTATAGATTGAAGTTTTCTTTCTTTTTTTCTTGAGCTGAAGAACTCATCAAATTGTAATTGTGTTTTGTTATCTGCAGGTTTAAGTATATTCTTGTAATTACTAATTGATTGTGGTCAGGCGTTGGGGTTCAACCAACACAGATGATATGTGATTCAATTAGATATTAAACTTCAATCCTGCTTAACACATATGTGGGCTTGCTACATTCTGTTTGGAAAATATATATGATGACTTGTGTCGTTGATTATCATAACTTTTTTCCTTTAGGGTTTTAGGAAAATTGACCCTGACCGTTGGGAATTTGCTAATGAGGGGTTCCTAAGAGGTCAGAAACATCTCTTAAAAACTATCAGCAGGCGGAAACCTGCTAATGTCCACAATAATGAGCAACCTCAAGCTCAGAGGTCATCTCAAGGAGCTTGTGTTGAGGTAGGGAAGTTTGGGCTCGAAGAGGAGGTTGAAAGGCTTAAAAGGGACAAGAATGTTCTCATGCAGGAACTTGTTAGGTTGAGGCAGCTGCAGCAAGCCACAGATAACCAGTTGCAAACTGTTGGCCAGCGTGTACAGGTGATGGAGCAGAGACAGCAGCAAATGATGTCTTTTCTTGCTAAGGCCATGCAAAATCCAGGTATCTTAAGCCAGCTTGTACAGCAGCAGAATGAAAGCAACACTCGCCTTACTGGTGGAAACAAGAAGAGGAGACTCTCCAGGCAGGATGAAGAAAATTTAACTGGTGAACGTGGTGCCATATCTCGTAATGGGCAGATTGTAAAGTTCCAGCCTTCACTGAATGAGGCAGCAAAGGCAATGCTGCACCAGATATTGAAGATGAACATGTCACCTAGGCTTGAACCTTCGATAAATAACCCTGATGCTTTCATGATTGATGGTGCTACTCCTTCCAATGCATTAGACAGCTGGAGCTCCTCCAATTGGGTTTCTGGAGTGACACTTTCAGAAGTCCCACCTGCTTCTGGGCAGTCTTATCTGGAAGCAGAATCATGTTTTCCTGACACTTGTTCATCTACTGCCAATCATTTAACAACTGAGCATACTAAAGTGGATCAAATTTCTGAGATAACTATGCAGAAATCACAGAAAGATGCAGTTTTTCCAAACGTTACTCAAATGCAAGGAATTGTGCCTGATGATACTGTCAGATTTACTGATGCAAGTTTGGCAGAGTCTGAGAGAGGGAAGGCAGAGTATCTTGATCCAATGGCAGCCGTTTTGGGTGGTGCAATTCCTCTAGAAACTGATCAGTTTTCAACTGATCATGATATGGACAACTTGCTGGATGGAACCCCTAAGCTTCCAGCAATTAATGACGTATTCTGGGAACACTTTCTTACAACAAGCCCACTCACTGGAGACACAGATGAAATTAACTCGAGTTCACCAGAAAATGGTGCGAACGAGGAACATGGATCACTGTTAGGGCAGGAGAATGTATGGGATGGGATTCAGCATATGAATCATCTTACTGAGCAAATGGGCCTTCTTACATCAGATAGCAGGAGGGCATGATGCACTACATATTTTATATACGTGTTTCTTGCTATTATGAGGTAAATCTTTTAACCAACCATTTACTATACGAAGCTTGATGAGCAGGAGTGCTATTCTCGGAAGAGACCAAAGTTAGCTGATAATTATGTTGTACTTAGTGTCATAGTATTAATTATAGAATCGCTCTCTGCCTTTCTTTCTGCTCATCATCATGATAATTTTATTTATTCTTGTTAAGAAGGCTTAATGTTATGAATGGCTTTTGAATTATAGTGAAATGTTCAATGTGATATATGAACTTTAAAAATCTCTAATGTGATATGAAGTATGAATCTATTTAATAATATGGTATTCATCTCTTATGTGGTTAGCTTCAAATGGTGACACATGATGGACAAATAACTCTTCAAGTACCACATTAGTTAATAGATTCATAGTTGAGGTATCTCGTTAGAGATTTTTAAAGTTTAAATATCACAATGAAAACTTCACTAAGTTAATAGCCATTTGGAACAGTAACCCTTATTAAGAATGCTCTTCATCTTATTCAGCTTCTGTTCCAATTCATGTAAAGCCATTTTTCAAAATTGCTCTTTCATGACATAAAAAGAATTTAACTGTGCGTTTATTTTACTAATTCCAAATCAGTAGATGACAAGGAAATGCTATTTGTTTAACGTTTGATAGTTCCTAGGCATCATTTACCGCACAGTACACAGACAAGTGGCTTGTTCAGAATCTTTTTCTTATCTTCGGGCTGTCAATCTTTGTTGCTATCTTGAATTTGCTATAATTAGAATGTAAGTGAAGCTATATAATTATTGAGTTTTCAATTTTATATGGTTTTTGCAGAAGTTGATGATCTTTGATGCTGGCAAGAAAAAAAGCTCTTGCTCAAAGAGAGCAACTTTTGTTGTTAAAGGAGTTGTTTATGTGTTATATGTACTAATAAACATAAAATGCTTTCAAAATAATTATCTCAAGAAACATTAATAATGAATTTCGAGTTTAACTTAATTGATTCATGTAACTATTTTTAAGATGCAGTATTTAGTAGTACTAGTTGTGACTCAACTATATTATCATCTTAGAAGTATGTTATGTTCTATCCCTCTTTTAGCCATGGGTGAATCTTGGGAGCAAGATGCACACTTGAAATGCGGTGCAGAAAAAATCTTTGGCTAGTTTGTTCTCTTTCGCCTGTTATAGTTACAAATGTTTGATATTAAGGCTCTAAGCTCTAAATTCAGATGAGATTATTTTCACTATGGCCATCTCCTATCGATCTTGAAGCATGTGATAACCTATAAGCCACTCTGTATCTCGAGATCTTATGATGTTGACACACCACCCAACCTTTCTTCATCGTAAAATTAGGGTTAAATATTCAATTAAAAATCTAATATTTGTATATTTCTTCAATTAAAGATATTATTTTTAATTTCACTCAATTTAGGAATGAAAAGTTTTCAAATCTGTTCAGCAAAGACTTAGTTACGGTTATAACTTAAACACACCATTTAGTTCACTTTCCACTTATATTTACTGTTAAATTCAATCCAATTAATATTTTATTTTAATAAACAAGACATAAATGGCAACCAAAATGATTGAAAAAATTAAAAGCATGAAATACCCAAACCAAATAAAAACAAAAAAAATTGATGAGCAAATCCGTTGACAACAAAATATTCAAAACCAAATCATTTAAATTGAGTTCTTCAAGCATTCTATATTCAAGGTTAGTATGCTTTTGTATAGTTTCTTTCAATTATTTGGTTTTAGAGTTAAAGATTTCTCTCTTTTCTTGTGACTCTAATTTTAGAGTTGCTTTTGAGTTTTCATTTTTTACATTATCACTTCATCAATAGATGAGTCGAGCCACAGGTATTCAGATTTAAAATCTTATAAGTTCATTATAACTAATTATTCTATTGAATTTGATTATAAAAAAGAAAACATCTTTTGTCATTGCAATTTGAAAGCACCTAGATAGACTTCATCGATAATCTTAAACCCTAATAAAAGATTTTATAGATGGTGATAATATCTGAAAGAACAATATATTATCGAATGGACTAAAAAATTTTCATGTTGATTATAGGAAACTATATGTGGTTTTCATTCATGACATAATCTAAGATTTTGTTATAGAACAAGAGAAATCATTAATGAGCTGAGAAGGAGAGAAAGATTGTTCTTGATTACGTCAAAAAATTGAAGAATGAAGTGTTAAATTTGAAGAAAATGTTGTGGATTGTGTTGAAGTTGAAATTATTAAAGAAAATTTCATTTGAAGATAAAAGTTAGGATCCATTTAAATAGGCATGAGATTAGTTCCAGCGAGAATGAAAATAATGGTGGAGATGAGATTAATTATTGTAACGGTGATATTGGAGAATTAAAAGTATAATTAAAAATAATAGTGAAATATGTGTTTAGATGCAAATATAACGACGACTGTGACATGAAATGTAGTGAAAAGAAAAATGACTATTATGGGTATTACATTAAAATTGATATATAATAAATTTTATAATAAATTTGGTATTTATAAAGTTAACAAATAATTGAAATTTAATAAAATTATTTTTATAGAATTATGTATATATTTTATTTATTATGTAATTATTTTATTTAATAAATATTATACATTTTATTATTTATATTTTCTTTATATTTCAAAATAATATTTTTTTAAAAAATAATAATGCATTTACATATCTTAAAATAATTAATATTTATTTACTTTGTTATTTATGTAGTTATTTATTTTATTTTTCTATTCACTAATAATTTATTATTATGAAATTGATTATTTATTTATTTAAGTATTTAAGAGTTTATCTCTTTATTAATTAATTTATTAAATAATAATATAAACTATTTTAAAATAATTATAATAAATTAATTTTAAAAACTTTAAATTAAAAAAATAAAAAGGCAAAACTAAATAAATAAAAAAAATCAAATCAAAATCCATAAATGTAGAAAACATATTTGTCCATACATTGTATTTCAAGGGCATAAAAAAAAAGAAAAAAAATTGGGGTAAAATAAGAAAAAAGATGTGTGGTGGAATGTTGAACTTGCACTGCTGGAAGCATTGGCCAATCAAAATTTAAAGAGTCAGTCCAATTGAAAACCACAAAATCAAACTAGAATGGTGTGCTAAACAAATCACTAGTAGAGTTAAGAACCCCAACCTAATCTCACGGGAGGTAATCGAGTATCCAAATGGGGCCTTAGTATGAAAAAGTTGAAATTGAAAGATAAAGATGGTGGGAAGAGATGAAAATTGGTTTTGTTAATATTCTTCATTTTTATTTTTTGTTTATTTATTTTCAAAGGTAAAAAAAAGAAAGGAAGATTTGTATGTTTGGTTTAGATATGTAAATTATGATTATAGCTGTGAATTATGATTTAAGTTGTTTGGTTTAAATTGTATAATGAAAGTTTTTATGAATGAAAAATGTGTTTTTTCCTACAACTCCTCATTATATAGGTTGTTTTATATAAACTAAGATGATGAGAACATTAATTTCATTCAATAGAAGTATAATATAAAAACACAAATTCCAACAACATAGATAAAGCATTCTTACAGTAATAAAAGTTACTTCATTTAAATCAATAATAAATTTTGTTCAAATACAATTCTGCAACCAAAATGCTCTGTTCAAATCTTTTGTTTTCACTTTTTTTTTTTTCATTTGAAATTTTAAGTTGACTCTCTTGAGTAGAAGCCATATCATCAATAGCCCGTTTCTTAGTCTCACATAAGTTTTTGATTTGGCAACTTATGTTCTAACATCGAAAAATAATTATGAAACTTTTACAAACCTAATCCTTAATATCTAAAACAACTAAAAATGTATAAAACACTATAATAACACTTTCATTTAGGATCTGTCTCTCTATCTGCAGGTTTGTATAGAGTCTATTCTCTTTTTTGTTGATTTTGGAAAATGCTTCTGAAGATCTGTTGTTCTTCTTTATCTCTATACAGTTTGCTGAAATAATTCTTTTTTCCTATGGTGGTTAAGCTAGATTTGGCTTTTAATAATATACTTTCACTTTTTCCACAAGTCATACCATGTAATCTTCCTTCAAAATCTACAAAACAACTCCCAAGAACTTTTCTAGATTTTGAATAATTTCTACTACCAACAACACTAACATTACTTATTTAGACTAATTTGCTCGATAGTTCATAACCATGTGCAAACACAAATGCAAACACATGCCTAAAGCCAAAAATAGATGAAGATATAGAAACTAACCCATATTAAGATGTAGAAGTTAACCTAAATAAAAATACAGAAGTAAATGCAAATACTAACCCAGATGCAAAAACAAAAATAAAAATAGTATAAGCTAAGATAGAAACAGAAGTAGAGGCAAAAGTAGAAGTAAAGGCAGATGCATTACACTGTCTTTATTTTTTTATTTTTGCAACCTCAGTTGACGCTACATTTGCATTTCTTGCACTAGATCCACCAATATTAATGTTGTTTTTAGTAATTTGTTCTTGAAATGATTGTTGGCATCAATGGTTAGATTAGGATTAGTGTATCTAATAGTGAAATAAATTATAAATGAAAAAATTATTACAAAATAAGATAATAATATAAAATTACATCATTACCCTTCATTGGACAACCTCTTTTGTTGTTATTTTCTTGTGACAGAAAATGCGTATATCATTATCATGCCCTTTCTTGACAGACTACAACTTTACTATTCTATTTTTTTTGGTTCATTAGGGACTTTTTTTTTTGCTGGTTTTGGACCTTTTTGGTATCTTTCTATATTTTGGTGGGTTAAGTGGCTGTTTTGTCATTGATTTAGACCAATTTTTTATTCTAGGCATGAGCTATAAGGCATTATTGTAAGCCAACTTGTAAAACCCCTTATAGTATCAACTAAAGACATAATCTTTCACATTTTCCCTCAAGTCTCCAATTGCACATATGACATGTGCACACGGAATACTAAAAAGTATAAATCTTCTAAATAAACATGTATTTTGGTTTAAATTAACCATTAACATTTATTCGCCCAAATTTATTTCATATCCAGCATCTCTATTAAATTTATCTATACATTTAGAAGTAATTTTGAATTTTTTCTATGACTTTCCAAATATCGAGACTAATGTTGCCTCTTCAGTTATTGCTTTCTTTTATTTTCCTCACAATTTTTAACATCATGTCTCTCCTTATCTATTACATAACTAGCTTTCTTATGGTATCCAATAATGTTTCATTGAAAGCTTCACATAAGTTGTTAGCCATTAAATCAATTATGGAGTCAATGTTGAATAATGCTCTACACCATTGTTGAAGTGGGACTTTGAGTATGTCTTCAACTACTTTGGCTTTCTTAGTTGCTAATTCATTCAAAAAGTTTTCAGATCTTATAACTGTGCTCTCCTTAACAATTTTTCAAAAGCATTGTTTCATTTCTTCATCTCTATAACGATTATTAGCCTAATTGACATATACATGTCTAGCATAATATTTGTGCTTAATATCTGAAAGCAACTCATTAATAACATTGTTGAGGCCATGCATTGTTATAGAGGATTAGATTCATTTATGTTAAGAAATAAATAATTGAATACAATTTATATAAGTTACCTTTTACTGGTCTATCATTATAGTCCAGCCTATTCCATTTCCAAAGATCATGATATCTAACTTTAAAAAGTCAATAAACCACTTCCAAGAAACTGTGCAGTCCATTTTCACTAATGCCCAAACCACTGGAAACATTTGAATGTTTCGATCTTTACCAATAGCATAAAGCAAAGCTTTTTAGAAAACAACCATCTAGCCTTAAAAATTGTTTAAAACCATTTTCAAAACCATTTTAAAGGTAGCCAAACATATGTAATATCTTTCAAAGACAGGTGAAGAGTTTGGTATCTGTTTATACACTTCCATCTTCACAGTGCTACCAAGATTAGTCTCTGATTGCACTTGCATAATCTCACAAGTTTGCAAACTCTATCTTATAATTACTTACCACCTTATCAACCACATCATTTTTTGCCTTCTTTACCATACTCATTTTCACATCTATTTCATATTCATTTTTAACTACTTTCTATATTTCTAAATTCTTTATAAAAGGGTTTTTCATAAACTTTTTAGTACACAATTCAACCAAAATAGATTAAATCATCCTTGGATTGCTAAACACCTTGTTGCAATCATGATTGTTGTTGTAAGTCTTCACTTGAAAATGACTACAACTTCTTATCAAAAGGTGCATTTATCAACTAAGGACAATTAAGTGCAGCACATTTACCTCTTACAAAATTTCAATGAATATTTGCTCAAATTATACCCATGTTTGTATGAATAGCTAGTAATGACATAACATGCTTAAATTATTTTGAATTCTCAAATAACATACCTAATTCTATATAAAGGTACTTGTAGTTGGAGCATAAACTGGAAACTTGCCTTTTCTCCTAATAGCATCATCCACCATGTCTTTTTTATTACTAGCAGGGCTTTCATATTTATCAAAGTCATAATACTCACTATGGTACCCTTTATCATTTTTAGTGCCAAAGACTTTTTTTGAACTTGAAATCTAGTCCCAACCTCATTATTAGTAATATTCGCTCTTTCGCAAACTCCCTGTTTATTGCTTTTTCCCTTCTTATTTTTTATTTTCTTAAACTTGGACCTAGCAATAATTTCTTCATCCTCGTTACCATTCAAAGTTTGAATATTAACACCATAAATAGGATTTCCACCTTCACTGTCAATTGATCCATTTCCATCATTAACATCTTTTACTTGTACCTAATTATGAACCCTATTAGGTGGTTCATCATTAACAACATTATTATGTTCTTCTACATCACATTAAACCCTATGACCATCATTTACTTTTTCTTCAATCACATCACCAAAAACGATAGCCTCATTAGATAGTTCATCAGTCACAACATCCTGATTCTTTTCTATTGATGTTAAACTCAATACCTTAGGAACTAATTGAGGCTCATCTATACCATGTTCTATATAGATATCTACTATATCATTATTTAACTAATATCCTATCATATCAAGGATAGTTTCATCATCCCAAACTATCTAAGTCCACCGTTAAGTGTTATACCAGGCTTTAAATAAAAAATTCTTCTAATGTTCATAAATCCAATATTTTCACAAACACTTAATAACTCATAAAAACTAATCTTTTTAGGGTCAAATGTCAAAGTCTTCAACAATTTTATTTATATAGCTCAAATTTGAACCCTTACCAATAAATGTTCCTTGATAATGAAATCTTATTATCATCAATTCAAAACTTATATTTGTAAAAAGAAAAAAAATAACATATCATCAAACCTTAAACATTTGTTTATTCAAACTAAATCCAATAACTACTAACTACTTGTTTAGGATCATACATTTGTCAAAACCTCGTAAGAAAAAAAAAAACTCACCTGAAAATGATAAACACCCAAGTGTTTAGAATGAAAAGCACCACTCAATTTCTTTTTAATATTCCTTTTAGGAATTACGAATCCACTCAATTTCTTCTTAATCTTGCTTTCAAGAATCACAATTTCTTCTTAATCCATTTGATCTTTGATTAATAATTTTTTTTTGAAACCTTGAATCCCCTAAATTCACTAAATTTCATTTTTTACAGTTTTAATCTCTTAGATGCGTTTATACCATTTTTTTACTTTTAATGTAAAAGTACTTTATATCCTCATTTTCAAACCAACAAATAACAGATCACAGGTTTCAAATTTTTTTTTTTTGTACATGTAAGTCACAATCATTATGGAATCTTTAATTGAATAAATTTGAAAACACGAAATTCTAAATTGAATCAAATTAAAAATGATATCCTTAATTTAAAAAACACGTAAATATTAGATTTTTAGTTAAGTGTTTAACCTAAAATTAATGTAGGTCAAGGTCTCCAGTTTGAGCCCCTTGTATAACCCCACCATCAAGACAATAAAAAAAAATAAAAAAATCTTGGTAACACTGGATCGATGATGGTAGAAATTTGAAGGCAATATTTATTTGTTAGTATCAATTATGTGTAATCGAAGAACTTAACTCAACTCAAAAATTCACAATTAAAAATTTAATTCGAGCTCAATCAAAATCTATTTTTCACGTTCAAGCTAGACATATAATTTAATTAAGTTAACTTAATTTCAGTCAATTTGATAGACTTGTTTATATTTGATAAAATTGTAAATGTTGATATGAAACCCTATAATTTTTACCATTTACTTACATATATATATATATATTTATATATATATATTTATATATATAGGTAAATAAAAGTTTGATTAAACTTGATTAGGTTCACAAATCTCTTAAGTGGGACATTAAACCACTCAAGTTCAGATCAATCCATTATTAGAATTACTCAATCTTGAGTTCAACTCAATAATGAACAGATTGAATTTGAGTTGTTTTTTTCAAATTCAAATCAAATCAAACCCGAATAACTACACACCGAGTAGCTCAAAGTGAGTCAGTTAACTCATTTACAGCTGTATTACCAATCATCAAACCTGTTACATATTTAAGTGCCATCCATCCTCATCCACTTTTCTAATTTCCTTTCGTCAAAGGTACTTTCATTTAGTTTTCTTTTAATCTCCTTACAAGGAGAGGTGGGTGAGCAAATTCCACACTTCAAGTGAAGGAGTTTCCTGCCCTTCGGTTGAAAAAGATATACCAGCCTTCTTTCCTACATTGATTCAAGCTCAATAAATTTTGCATTTTACTCCTGAAACAAACCCTATGCCAATAATTATAAACAACAGAAGGTGCAAAAAGATTTTGAAATTTATTAATGATGCAAGTCTATTTACATGACTTGCTGTAAAGCTAAAAGCCTCCAGGGACAGGGAGGATCTCACCACAGCATAAAAAATAGTAGCATACATTACATGGCTGTATAATCTTTATCATATACCACCAGAACAGTTGGTTACACTTCTGTGGAGAACTTTGAGCTCGAGACACCATATCTGGTGCTTAAGCCACAACAACTATGATGAAAATGAGGAGAATGATCCCAAAGATTACCAACAGCAAACATCTCTGCATGAAAAAATTTCATTGGTTAATCATTTTTTAATGTCACATATTGGTTCAAAGTTACAAACCTCAATCAAAATCGGTACAATAAAACTAACTTGGAAGTTATTCCTATCAAAAGTATAAATATCACCCACCATGAAGTTAAACGAGGTAAATGTGAAACTGAAGAAATATTTTATGTGAAACAACTATAATTATGACTAAAAATTGGTAAATAAATGATCTTAAGGAGGAAAAATAGTTCTGTTTGGAACAAGAGAAAATGATTTGGATAGATCATACTTACCGTAGATGAATTTGCTCTCTGGATCTTGGCTGCTTTTTTAAGATGTGAAGTAGCTTGCACAGTTGCAGAATGGGAATTCTCAATGTTTGAACCAATATCATCTGCAAGGAAAACATGTCAAACATCTTGTCACATTTGCAGCCAAAGCTTTGGAGAAACTTGAGTAAGAAGACAAGACATTCCAACAAAAGTATATATTTGACATAAGTCTTACCAATCATGGCTCCTTGCTCATGGACCAAAACTGCTAGATCTTTGAAAATCTCGTTCACTTCACTAATCTGTTGTTGAATTTCTTTGATCCCCTGATCTCTTTCTTCAATAATAGCTTCATTGAATGTGATTTCATTGTCCAACAGTATAACTTCTTGTCTGTTAACAGAATAATTTGACAATTATAAGCATTTACAGGGAAATGAATTATGTATTTTTGACGGCAGTCTATGACATATCCGTCTCTCTCACTATGGAAACTCAAGCAATTCAATTGATGAAAAATTAAAAAGGGAAGAAACAAGGGATAGAAAATAGCTTTGCGACATGAATGAATCCACATTTGAAACCACATTTCCCTAATTTAAAGCCTCAAAGAAGGATACTACAGAAATCCAGTGCTATTTTTTGGCCCAAGTTACTCAAGAAACTATCAAAGTGAGTCTCATAATAACAACTTTTTAAACAACAATAAGGCTGACTAGTTCTGGAAGTGATAGTTTAACCTTTAGGGTGGGGAAGAAAAGAGGTAAAATTCTATCTAAACAATTATGGAATTACAAACCATCAAAAAGAATTTCTTGAATAAGTGTCAGCAGCATCAGTCACAGAGATAAGAAGAAGAATCTCTCCCTTTTATCAAAATAGTCTACAATATAAGCAACATTTAAAGAAGATAAAAAATTGCCACCTCAAAAGAGTCAATTACATGGGTAAAGAAGAAAACATTTTTTCAAGCAAGAAGCTGAAAATAATAAATAAGGGTTGAGTTATCACAAAATTCAAGATTTTCAGCCACACCAGAAAAGATTGACTTAGTGCAAATAACTAACAGCTTCACAAAAGTAGGTTATATAATCAAAGTACCATGTAAAAACTCCTCACCTTTTTGCTACCAGAAGAGTTTGTTGTTCTTGACTCTTAGATGAACTTATCTCCACCTCATGGGCAGCATAACTGCATATGTTTACAAGTTGTGAGATAAAGCACAACATTCATGCACAAAATATAACAGCTCAGGAGCATTTAAATTATAGACAGTATGGTCAACCCTGTAATGACGAAAAGTAGCTAAAAGAAGCTTGTAGGATTCCAAACCATGAGTCACTATATTACATTCCAATTTTATGTTTGCCATTCTTCAACAACAATATAGAGATTACAAGAAAAAGTTAATAGAAACTGTCTTAATCATTCTTCAGTATCTATTTCAGTTTTGATGTTTTCCACTAATATGCTGGAACTTACAAACTCCACAATAAGTTTTGCTCTTTCACATTCTATCGTTACTACATGTGTTTAAAATGAAACCCATAAAAGGATAGTTAACTTTTCACACCATAAAATACAGGACAAACGATAATTGTACCCAGACCCAATGAACCAGCAATCATATTGAATATGCACATATGAATGTTTATATTGACATTCACACATGCATGTTCTTATCTACAATCTGCAGGATATGTGTACTTATGCTGGTATTGCTGTACGCACATAAAAGTAATTTCAGTGCCGCTTAAAGTACCTGGGAGGAAGTACTTCTTTGGGAACAAAAGGAGTATATGCTGTTTCCCTCTCAGCTGCAAGCCTTTGAGCCTTCTGAAAGTCTTTAAGAGCCAACTGAAGATCTTTCGCAAGCTTAGCATCAGCAATCTTCTTTAAGGGCTGCAGTTTAATGAAAAGATTGTCAGGTGATGTAATGTAAACCACCAACTTCCTCCTAAAACAAGAAATGAAAAAGGCACTACTCTTTTGAAGAACAAGTATAGTAGGGAAGAGTCAACAATTTCCAAAACCAATTTAGTCAAAAGATAGGAGGATAAAAGCATAAGTAGATAAAGAAGGGGATACCAACAAGTAAACCAGTGTCATAAAGGGCAAGCAATGCACTTACTGAAGTGCTCATGAGAGGTTAAACACAATAGAAGCGTCTTAGAATGCCCCAATAGCACTTACTTGCACCATTATACCATAATATCTTTTTCACTAACATATTATCTAGTTTAAACCCACAATTTTAAATATGGCACAGTAACACAATACAAAATTGATGAAATAAACACGAAAGCAAATGATTTAAAATTTAGCAAAAACCATATATGAGTTTGGCAAAAACCAAAATATGTGTTTTGTGTTTGGCATGTCAACATGAAATGTGACATAACAATTTTTGTGTTTTACACGTGTTAGATACAAAATAGACAAATACGACTACAAAAATTGTCAGGTCTAATCTAGTTATATAATTTTGGAAAAAATTAAAAATCAAAATATAAAGCAGATGAACTTACACTAACTTCTGCATCTTGATCATCTTCACTTGCTTCCCTTAGTTTTGCGGAAGTCTCTTTGACCAATTGCCCTATATGTAACCTTGTCTTATGCCTACCAAGGAAGACAACCAAATATAAGGACCAATGAAGAGCAAAATCATATCATCTTGAGCTACAAAACAGGAGATAACCCGCTCTCATCCCATAAATTCCATCTCATCTAACCCAAGATTCAAATCCAAGGCATCTAAGTTGGAGTCTCAAGTTCTAACCAGCGGGAACATGAAGGGCAAATAGTGATTAATCATGCAATCATTCATCAAGAAACAAAACAATAAAAAGCGCCAATTGCCTCAAAAACTGTTTTAAAAAGAAAAAACTTACAACTTGTCGCGTAATTCAGAGGTGTCTTTAGGGGTACCAAGGGAATTAACAAGACGATCAAAGGCCAAAATAGCGGTTCTTATTTTGAAAATCCCAGCGGCCACCGATTGCGAAGCCGAAGCCTCTCCTTTTCCTTGGAACAAATGTTGCTGAGAAGAAGAATTCAAGTTGTTGTTTTGCTGCGGCCTTACAAAACCAGCTTCAAGATCCTGGAAACTCATTCTTTTTCCTTTTTAATTTCTAAGGAATTGGTCAGAGTAACGAAGGAAGAACCAAAGATAGGAAAGATGAAAATAAGGCAAAAGCCAAAAAATAAATAAATAAATAAAACCTAAAGGAAAGAAAGAAATGAGTTTGAGGTGATGAAGTAATTATAATATTCAAAATTGGTTTGTTGTTGCAGTTAGATGATCATGTTCTTCTCCTTCTCCTTGGAGTCAAACTAGGACAACTCTAGAAGTTTCCGTTTTGGAGGATAACTGCATATTTAAAATTGCTCTATTCTCAGACCCAAAAAGAACAAAATTATTCAATTCATCATGCTTTTAACTTAGCTGCTAATGTAGGGCACGTCCCCTTACCACCCCCCCCCCCCAATTTTACACGTGGCAGTTTTTTTTTGTTTTTTATTTTTAAAAATTTTTATTGTCAATTTTTTTCAATTTCTTTTAAAAATTTCATAAACAAATTTTAAAAATTTCAAAATTTTTTAATCTACTTTATCAAAATTTTTTTATTTTTCTTTTATTAACATGTTTTTTTTCTAAATCCATCATTTTGATAAATTTTATTTTTGTATGAAACTTAATTCAAGTATCACGTGATATTTTTTAATTTTTTGTCTTTTTAAATTTTAATTATTTATGTATGATCCCTTTAAGCTGTGCTATATGGCACTTGTTCTTTTCTTTTTAAATTTTTATTTATTTTTATTTTTTAACTATTTTTCATATTTTTTAATATTTAATGAATATTTTTAAGATTTTAATTTTTTTATGTGAAACTCATTTTATACCAAAAATATTTTTGCTTTTTAGACATAAATTTTTTTTTATTTTTTTAAAGATTTTGATTCTTTTTTATATAAAACCTATTTGGTATAAAAAATATGTAGCATATTTACATTTATTTTGATATATTTAATAATTTTTTTTTTAGATTTCAAAATTTTTTTGTCACTCACTTTCTTTTTCTTTCTTTTTTGTCACACAATTCCTGTTCTAAAAGTGTTGTATTTTTATTTTTTTATTTTAAATTATTTTTAAATTTTATATATTAAATAAATTTTTTTTAAAATTTTAAAATTTTTTATTTTGTCAACTTCATAGCATAGGTATACCATTGTTAGTTATTTTTTTATATTTTTTATTTATTTTTTTAAATATTTATATTTTCTTTTAATATGGTAAATTTTTTAATGTGACTTACCTTTAATATTTTTTATTTAAAAAATTTATTCCTTTTTCTTTGATTTTTTCCTATTTTTAATTTGATAATTATTTAAAAAAATGATATTAAAAAAAACTCATCATCAATAATGTTGCATGGCAACTTGACTTTCTTTTTTGTTTTTTTCCTTTCTCTTCTTTTTCTCTACCTTTATTTTTTATTAGATTATTTTATTAAAAAAACCCACGGATGTGTATAAGTGATAACACTCTATTTCATTTTTTATCTTTTTTATTTTTTTAATCAGATAATTTGTAACAAAAAATTAATAAATAAATTAAAAAAAATATTAATGGAGGTATGGATAACAAAATAACTTGAATTCGCTATATTTGATTCGTTCGAATCCAATAAATGAGTTTTTTATTTGAGATCAAATTGAATTTTTTTTAAATCATGATTGAGTCAAAGACGAATTTATGGTGTTCCATCTTACTTTAACTATATATACATATATTAAACTATATTTTTAATTATTTATTTAATTTTATTTTGATATATATGTTTTATATTAAAAAATTATTATTTATTATCTTAATTTAATACTATATTTATACATAATTAAGATGTAATCATCATTAAAGTATCCACATACTACCTTATTTTTTCTCTTTTTTTATTTTTTTTTTAGCTTTTTTGTTTTTAATATAGATAAATTTTGCCAAAAAAATCTATGTACCCATCCATGTGACACTCTCTTGGTCTTAAATTAATAAGAATTTTAAAATGACAAAACAAATATTTACTAAAATTGAATTAAATTGATTTGAACTTAATTTGAATATTTTTCTAGCCCTCCATCAAGTGAAAAATTGTTTTAAATCAAATACAATTCTTTTTTCATGGCTAAAAAAAAGAATTTGGTAAAAAATGCATGGAAAGGATCAATCCCCTTAGGGATAAGATTAATCCCTTCAAGCACTCAATTGATCGTTTCTCCAAAAGGATCGATTACTTTTTTGGCTAAAATATTTTCTCGTGTGATTTTTGCTAAAACCAATCGATCGCCTTTTTTATTAGATCGATTGGTACAATAATATCAAGAAAGGATCGATCCCCTCTTATGTATGGATTGATTGATTTTTAAATAAAAGCAAAATTTATTTTGATAAGCATGAGAATTGATCAATCACCTACCTAGGAGATCGATCACTTGCATATAGGATCGATTAGGTATCTTACCTGATCGATTGGATAGTATTTTCACTCCTAAAGTTTTGGCTTTCAAAACTAGAATCAATCGATCCCTTTTAATACAGGATCAATTGATTTGACCCTGATAAGCTTAAACGATTACTTTTTCTTATAATTTGTAGAGGCTCCTAATATTAAATGAAACTAATGGCTTTCTTCACCTTTCTACATATAAAATGAAATCTCTCACCAAATTAAAGCCATCAAGAGCCAAATAAATCTATTGCTTCCATCATTCATCTTCTTCAAGCATTAAATAGCTTATTGTTATGTGAAAAAAAGCAAAAATTTTATATTGTATTCATTTTTTTCTCTTTGATATCCTTATTAACAGTTATTTGTACTTCAAAATTGTAAATACTCAAGGTTATCAAATGTGCAAAAGCACTTTCATTTGTATTGTGACTTTGTAAGCTTAAGGGGAATGTTAACCACTAAAAGACTTGGTTGTATTGTGAGCTTAAGAGGGTGGATAATCTTTTAAGAAGTTGTGTAGATTGTATCAAGCTTTAGAAGAAGCTAGGTTGTAATATTTAACATTTTGATAGTGAATTCAACTCCTTGGTAAGTGAGGCTAAGTGCTTAGAGAAAGTGCTGAACATTTATAATCTCGATGTTTGATTTTTTAACTCTACCTCTTTACATTTCAAGTTATCATTATCGTGCTTATATTTTGAGTTTATTAGCTTAGAAATTGATATTTGTAATAATTGTTTTAATTGCCATTAAATTTGTTAAAATTTATAATAAACCAATTTATTCATTTTTGGCTTATTCAAGTCTTTGAGCTAACACACCTCAATTTGTTTTTTTAACCTTTTGTTTGTTTAATTAAATAAATTTTGAAACCAAATGAGGCAATGCTAAGGAATGCCATATCAATTTGTCTTTAATAGATCCCTACTTAATTAGGATATCCACGTAGTACCTCAATGAATTTTTTTTCCTTTTTATCTTTTTTATTAAAGTAATTTTATGAAAAAAAAAAACCTAAAAGAGGTGTTGACATCGCACCTCATTTGTTTTTTCTCTTTTATTTTGTTTTTTGTATTTTTAATTACATAAATTTTGTAACTAAATGTGTCACTTGATAGAGATGTTAAAATTAGGGGAAAGCAACAATCGATGTTAACCCAAAAAATTGCTTAAAAATTTGTCATTAAAATAATTTTGTTTCGTTTTTTTGGTTTAATAATTAAATCAGTTTGGGGTTTAATTTTTGCGATTTAATCAGTCGGTTTTCGATCTTGAATTTTAAGACTCGAACCGATCAATAAAATTGAAATTTAATAATTAAATATTAAAATAAATAAATAAATAATAGTATTAATATTTAATATTTAATATTTTAATTATTTCATTTACTCATTTATCCTTTTCTTTTTTCTAAAATCTAAAACCCCCAAAATAAATCCTTCATTTCCTTTGTTTCTCCCTTACACTCTTTGTTTCTGTCAAATGACTTTGCCTTGACGCCTCAATCATACCAACCCTGTTTTTCTTTTTTTACCTCTCATAATTAAACCAAACACCCAACCGACACATTAGAGGGAAAGCTTTTATATCTTCTAGTCATGCAATCTAAAGCTTTTTTCTCAATTGTCAAAAACTCAAATGACCTAAACGATGCTATACCAAACCTCATTTGCCCTCAAATCTCAAGAAAGCTTATGCCATTTATATGTAAAAAATTGGCTTTGTTTCAGAGGTCTAAATAAAAAACAATTAGGCACCTGACTTTCTCTTTTGTTTGTCAATTAGCGTAGAATTTTTTTAAGTAAATCATTTATTAACTATGAGTTGACTAGAGCTTGAGAAAATGACACCTTTCATTTCTTAACTGTGCAAGGAAATTTTGTTCTTTCAAATATGAATGAGGACATCATTTAAACTCTAAAGTGGGTTTTTGTCTTACTTTGTGTTTTAATTTTTGAATATCTAGATTATTTTTGTTTTTTACAATTTGATCTTGATAACCGAGAACATGGAAAAATCAACCACCTTGAACTGGTTTGGTTAATTTTGATTTTCATTCCATTAATTGATCAATTCAATTTTTTTGTACATTAAGTTGGTTAAATTGATTTTTAAATTTTACAACTGAATTAATTGAATTGAATGCTTGCTCCGTCCTCGATAAAACAATCAGTTTCCAATGAGTTTATCTCGATTTGACAAGATTTGAGATAGATCAATTTTATTTTTTATTTTTAAAAAGCTTGAGTCAAAGGCATATTCAAAGTGTTTTGCCTTTACTTTTTTTAACCTACTCATAATCAAACCAAACACCCAAACAACACATTAGAGGGATAGCTTTTATATCTTCTACTCATGCAAATAGCTTTTATTTGCATGGCATTTTTTTTTATATAATTTTTTTAATTAGATAAATTTTATAAAAAAAAATAGTTAATAGAGATAGTAAAACAAAAAAATTTTACCCACGACAACACATGTGTATTTTTTTAATTTAGAAATAAATTTTACTAATATAAATCAATGCTAGATTTAAAAAAAAAATTGATTTCTCCAATTTTTTTTTTTTTACATAAATTCTTAATCTATGAACTTTTTAAAAAATTAAAGTACTATAATTTTATTTTTAATTTTGTCATTATATTTTAAGTTATTAATTATTTAACATAAAATAACAAAAGTGATGAAATTTATCGTTACATTAATAAGCTAATTTGTGAAATATTTTAATTTTTTTTAATTTTATTAAATTTAATGAAAATAAATTGCAATCGTATATCTTAAAATTTTAAATTTATATATATTAGGATAATAATTTTTTAATATCATGATTAAAAATGATAATTACACAATTAGATTCATAAATTAACAATAGATTTAAATTAAAATTAAATATTACAAACTACAAACTACAAATATTCACAAGTTTATAAAAGAAAAATGTTTTCAAATTTCTATTGACCTATGACAAAAACAAGATAAATAATAGGTTATAAAAAATAATAATAACTAAATTATATACTAAAACAAAAATCAGTTTTATTCAAATGATAATATATTTTTAAAATTTACATAATTTTATTATCGGTCTTGTAGTAAAATCTTTTAATCAAAAAAGAATTGTTAAGTAATTATGAACCATTTATTTAAGACTTGGTCATCTATGTTTTTATATTGTGTAAAATACTAATAATTTATGTATTTTTATTTTATATAAAAATTACATGTTATAATTCATATTCATGCAAAAAACATAAAATATATTTTTTTAATTTTTATTAAACTCATGTATAATTTTCATCAAAATTTTAAATCGTATCAATTTTATTTTTTATATATTTTTATGTCATATTACTATATCATATTTTAAATTATCAAATATACATAATAGTATCAATACTAAAATATTTAAACCATGAATCACCTGTCACATCTCATGACCATCTTAAAATATCCAAACCAATTATTCCAAAGCCACTTAGATAGCATTTGGTATATTTTACAAGATCATTATGATAACATAATTACTAGAGTGATCTTAACACTCATTATTTGAAATAATCATTTTATTTGGTTAACGATTATTAATTTTTATGAATTAAATATTACTATATTTGGTATTATTAAAAGTTAAATATTATTTTGCTTAAAAGTATGAAAAAATCATGTATAGTGTAATAGTTATACAAATTAATAATTTTATGATTATTTAAAGATAATAATTTGTAAAATATTAGTAATATTGATTTATCTTATAATAAAATATTATTAAATTAATAAATATATTTATTGATGGATAAATTTATTTTTATAATATAAATTATGTAAAAAATTTGAATTATATTAAATTCATAATTAAACAATTATATTATATATAAAATATTAAAAATTAAACAAATACATAAATTATTTTAAACTTGTTATAACGAATATTAATTTGAAAATATAAAAATTTATAATATAAAATGATTATAATTTTAAGATACAACAAGTTTTTAATTTACATATTAAATGGATGAAATTAATTGTTGTTAATTTTATATATCATATCATATCAATGACAAAAATTTCTCAAATTTTATATCATAATTAAATCATTATCTAAGTAAGTGATTTGATTATTTTCGATAATTTAAAATTATCATCACGTAAAATTATCAAATATTTATCAAACATAACGATCTAATTATCATATATAAATTACCATAATTTTAAAAATAATTACCGCATATCAAACATTAACTTAATGATCTTAAGTAGGGTTGGCATCGGGACGGGTTTTGCTCGTCCCAAACTCGATCTGACTTTATGTATTAATAAACCAAAACCTGACCCTATGAGAAATTTTTTTTGTTTTTTCATACTTGAATCCGACCCGATCCAATATTATATAAATCGTACCAGACCCGATCCGACATGAAATTAATAAAATATTATTTTTTTTAAATATAAAATATTATTTTTTAAATATAAATATTTAAAAATATCATTATATAAATATATATAAATAATTAATTAATTAAAAATAATTTTTTATATAATATCGGATCGGATATGCCTAAAACTCGAATCTGACCCGATCCCAATTGTTTCTTAACCTTACCCGACCCGATCTAAAACCCAAAATAAAAAAAAAAAATTAATCTCATAAAATCAGATCGGATCAAAACCCGTCGAAAGTCGGATTGGATTCCCATTCCTAATCTTAAGCGGTTGCTCACCCTTAGCAAGTGCTATCCCAAATTGGACCTAAAAATGAGACTCCATCTCAACGTGAAGTGGTCCCAATTAATGACTTGGATGGGTTCAATATAATGTAACCCAACTTAAATGACTTCATTGTAAGAAAATGGGAATAGGATATTAAGGTTAGTTTAATGTTGATGTTGAAAATAATTTTTTATTAAACGCTGTTTTTAATTTAATTTTAATGTTAAAAAAATATGGTTTTTTAATTTAAAATTTTTATTTTGTAACCAAAATATTTAAGGGATATTTTTATAATATAAAAAGTTTTTGAAATAAAAAAATCATTATATTATTGTATATTTTTAATAAGAAAGGAATCTACTTGTATTAATGTAAAATTAAAAAATTTTACATTTTTTAATAATTGATTTTAATATATTCAAATAATTGGTGAATCAAGTAAAAACAAAATAATTAACGTCATCTCTTGAATTTATCAAATTTAATATTAAAAAAATAATTTTTGGGTGAAAATTGATTCCTCCCTTATTTATAATATTTTATTATTTCATATATTTTAAAACATTTTAATATATCATTATTAAACAAACCTGATAAAACAGAATTCTAAGTTATAATTCCAAGAATAATTCCAATTTGCAATAAAAATAAATAAAAAATTGAAAACTTAAGCTCCACGACCACGTTCCTTTACCTTCACACGTCAACCCCCCCTACATTAAATCAACTATACCCGACTCTACATAAACTTACAGTAATCACGCTTCTTAATTGTACAAATATTCCAAAATACCCAATCCCAAAAAGGTACCATTGCCCACAGCATGAAAGTTAAAGATCTATGTTAAGGATATCCGCGGAAGATATTTATTGTCCACCCCGTAACTTCATTAGCCACCGGAGCTTCTCTCGGGGAAAATTTTTCATTTTCCTTTCAATTTTACTGGAAAGAAAAAAAAAATTTTTCCGGTGAAGAAAGATTCGATTTGTTTTGCCATAAACGGAACTCCATGGCGGTTAGTGCAATTTTTATGGTTGTTTTTTTTATCATTTTGATTGGTCGGCAAGAAAATTTATGACAATAAGAAAAATTTCATTTGCTTGATTAATAAAGAGTTTTGATTATATGTCTTGGGAATTATATGCAAACTATTTATGGATCTTGTTGATTTCATTTCGCGCTTCTAATTCAATTTTTCTATGCCAATTAGGAATATATTAGGTTGATGAACAAAAAACTTAATTTTAGATTTCTTTAAAGAAAAATGGAAAATTTACACAATTTAACTCGCTTTAAGGCCTTCCATAATAAGAATTGAATGGTGAATTATGTGCATGTATGTGCTCCTGGATGTGGTTATTATGTAGATGATAACTTTTAATGAGGTTGAAACCTAGTGGCAATTTTGTTTTTCATTTTGCCTAAAAGGATAAGGAATGTCTTCTTTGTGAAATGCATATTATCTATTTATGGTAGACTTGATAATTTTAAATACAACATGGTGACACGGTAAAAAATATACGAAAAAATACACAAAAATGACGCAGATTGAAATTTTAGCAAAAATCGAATATAAGTTTGGTAAAAACCAAAAATATGTTACTCCTGTTTGGTGTGTAGACACGAATTATAGCATGGCAATTTTCATGTTTTATTTGTGTTTGACTCTAAATAGACACGGTACAAATATACAAATTGTCAAGTCTAGTTTATGGATTTATGCTGTTTCTTTTCGACAGATCCAATCGGTGAAAGTGTGCAATGTTTCCTTGGGTGCATCTGAGCAAGATATTAAGGAGTTCTTTTCCTTCTCTGGTGAAATTGAACATGTTGAAATGCATGGGTTAGTTATTACCGTAAGATATTTAAGTTTCGCCATCTCTTTTTTGTTTGCTTGATCCATTTTACAGTATGGATACAAAGAAAGGAAGCAAATACTTAAAATTGCTTCTCATTGCTTTCATTTGTAAACGGTATCTGGTCTAAGTTTCTTATTGCTTTCATTTTTCTTCCTTCCAGTGATAATGAGCGATCTCAAGTTGCATATGTTGCTTTCAAGGATCCATCGGGAGCAGAGACTGCCGTTCTTCTTTCAGTGTGCACCTATCTCATTTCTTTTGAGCTTTTCTGTATTGAATATTATTAGTTGTTTTCACCGACTCTCCCATATGCATTACATAATTTGGTTTATGCTTCTGTTATAAGGAAAATGGTCAGTCTAACATATATGGGAATTAAATGTCTATAAATCTTTTATGGAGATCATGTGCTTTTGAAACCAAACACTTTAATGCTTTGCTGGTGCAATCACCATGCCAAAGCCATTTTGTTTAAAGTCTTTTATCAGTTAAAAAATAACAACCGTTGCTACTAAAATATATCTGCCTCTGAGGTAAGATTTGCTGAAGACATGTGAATCCATGTATGTGTTTGACTGAATATTTGAATTTATATCTTGAATTCACGCTATGCTTCAGTTTGATGATAATTGATTTAAAATAAAACTTAATTTCAAGGAACTGATCAAATCTAGCTCTACATTTGAATGGTGTTTAAGACCTATGTGGCTGAGGTTTCAATTTTTATGTGTTCTTCTGACTTGTGAAGAGTTTTTTTGGTTTCAAAAAACAACATTCATGTTGGCCATTTGGCATCAGGTGGTAAAACTGCAGTTATTCTACCAAAGCTTGCATTTAGTTCCTCATTTATGCAAGTATGTGTTTTCAGTTACTATCATGGTTTCGAGATATATTTATTTGTTTCCTTTTCTTTTTTGTTGGTTCAATGTCATAATCTTTCATTGCAACATCTCTTTTATTTGAAGTGTCTAAGTTTGCCTTCTTATTGACTTTTTCTGGTTTTTTATACATCAAATCGTTCTGCCCTTGTTGCCCCGCTCTTTTTCTTATATAAGGGAGAAAGTAAAGAGGGAAAAGAGAAGAGGCAAGGGGTATCCTGATTGCCATATTATTGTTAATTTGTGGTGTTACAAAGTTTACTTCAGAAAAGAGCTGTTTCCCTTAAAGGATGATGTTGATTGATTGGATAAAAGGTTTTAATTTCATTCTTATTAATTCAGATTACATGCTTTTCTTCAGGGGGCTACAATTGTTGATCAATCTGTCAACATAGAGCTGGCTCCTGATTACAAGCCACCTGCTACTTCCTCTGCAACACCTGTAATGTCATAACCCATGGCAATCTGCTTTGATTTCACTTCCTAAATGATGATGTGTAATGTGAATGAATTGTTTGATCACCTCAGGCAACAGAGAATAAATGTGCTGGCCAGGCTATATCTGCTGTCCAGAAGGCAGAGGATGTTGTAAGCAGCATGCTTGCCGGGGGATTCATTCTTGGCAAAGATGCAGTTAACAAAGCAAAGGCCTTTGATGAGAAGCATCAGCTCACATCAACCGCCACTGCCAAAGTTGCTTCTCTGGACCAGAAGATTGGTTTAACTGAGAAAATTAGTGCTGGCACAACCATGGTGAATGACAAAGTGAGGGAAATGGACCAGAAGTTTCAGGTTTCTGAGAAGACCAAGTCTGCATTTACGGCTGCTGAGCAGACAGTCAGCAATGCTGGATCTGCTGTCATGAAGAACCGTTATGTCTTGACTGGAGCCTCATGGGTTACTGGTGCATTCAACAGGGTTGCTAAGGTAGCAGGCGATGTGGGGCAGAAGACAAAAGAGAAAGTTTTGGCTGAGGAGGAACAAGCTCAGAAACCTGACCACTACGCACAGATTAACAAGTCTGAATCTCCTAAAGATGCTAAACCTGCTACAAGTGATCAACCTTCAAAGCCCTCATCTGCACAAGGATTAATCCTTTAATTTGCAGAAGACTGTAAAAACCAGCATGGAAAGTATGGATAATGTCATCTTTTTGTGTTCTGCTTTCTAGTTTGGACGTAGTTAAATGTAGGATACTTTGTCACATATTGTTTGATATGTTTGCTACACTTGATTTACAAAATAATAGATGCCACAACATTTCAGCATCAATTTATCTCATAAATGCCAATTTTATTCATATTCATCCTTTCTTCACTTTGGAACAAGGAAAATTTCTTGTTTACCTTTGTCATTCATTCAGTGCATACTCTTAGGAAGTGTTTGGTTAGTGGAAATTAGATTCCTTTTGAGAAAGTGATTTCGGGAAGAGTCATCAATGTCATCCCTTTTTTCACCGACACCTGCAAATCTCAGGTTGTTTATTGGCCCTCGATAGTGGATCTAAACTGGAGGGAAAGCGCTGTGCTACTACTCATCCCGCTACATCACCAGGCAGTTCCTCAACCAGTTAGCCAGTTGAGTAAAATGTTGAACAAAAAATCTGCAAACTTCATTTTTTTTTTTTACTTCTTTCTTGAATTAAAAGGCAAATTTAATAAAATTAAGATTGTAAAGGGATCGTAAAATTTCTTAGGTTGAATGGATCCGTTTGGATCTTTGTTTACTTGAATTAGGCTTTTGTCTAATTTTCTCACCGATCACCATTTTACTAATTAAAAAAAAATTACAGCTTGAAAATAGAAAAAAAAAGATTATAAAAATTAAATTTTATTAAATATTATTTTGTTGAAGTAATTACATAAATTAACTAAGTTGTATGAAAATTCTAATTTTTTTACTAATTTACTAATAAAATTATACTGCACTCCACGGAATTCCTACCTTTTATATTGACTAGCTATAACCTAATGGACATATATGATAATCTTATAAGCCTGTCCGACACCGATACATAGAATAATTTTTCATGTATTTTGACTAACTATAGTTTTACACTCGGTTGACCGTCCATCACAAATAAGATTTTTGAAGAGAATTTGGGTTTATAGTAACGGGGAAACGATTAAAAAAAGCACGAGTAAGATTGAAGGTTACGGAGAAAACGACCTAAAAACCTTTATTATTGTCCGTCCCAATCGGCTATCACTATCACAATTATTTTGAGTCTCTCTGGCCACCGGTCTCAAAAGCCTAAATTGACTCCTTCCTCCTCGTAGTGACCAAAACATACGAGGTAATTCGAATATTTTATTTATAAAATTTAGATTTGAATTTTAATGTTAGTGATTTGTTTTAATGATTTTTTATTGAATTATTTATAAATTTAATGTAAATTTTTTTAATTTACTATCTACTTTAACTTAAAAAAAACTCTTTCACTCTAATTTTTTTTAAATATAAAATAATAAAATAATAATAACACCACGTGATTCATCACACATTTAATAAGTCAATCAGACGTTGAGTTTTAAAAATTTTTTTTTCTCACTTTTTTATGTAAGAGTGTTCATTCAGTTGTTCGATTAATTTCAAATTAAATTATTTAAAATTAAATTAACTAAAATATTTTATTTTAATTTTATTAATCAAATCAAAATTTTTATTTATAAAAATTAATTGACCGAATTAATTTTAATCGTTTCAGATAAATTTTGATTAACCAAAATTTTTTCTTGTCATTGCTTTTGAACTATTCAAACTATATCATAGTGAGGAAGAAAGTTACATTCAGATATTGCAAATTATGTAGTTAAACAACTGCAATTGATTAAATATTATTACCTAGTATACCGATAATCTACAACAACTGCTATACTAGGTGTTACCTTAGTCTCCAAGAGCTCAACTTTGGCTCTGCTAATAAGCATACTGGTAGAGATATAAGGGTCACAGGCAAGTTGTAAAAGAAAATTACAATAATCTCTTTTGGATATATCTTCATCACTTGGACTGTAAAGTGCTACAAAATTCAAGTTTAATTTGATGGAAGATATTACGGAATTCATGATGGAGCTTGGAAACATATTTTTTACCTTAATAATATACTAAAATTTTAATTAATTATTCGGTTAATTCGATTTTCAAATCGAATTAATCAAAAATTGAATTTTATCTAAAATTATTTTCAAAAATCAAATCGATTTAATTTGATGACCGATCGATTAATTGAATTAAATCGATTCGATCGATTAATTCGATTAAAACCAAAATTTGAACACTGTTATCTTCATTTCACTTAACTGAACAACTATCTTTCAGCTATATCCCACTTTCCGGGAAAATTTGAGGACCACCTTATCAGCATCATAAGGTGGAAGATGGTTTTGATGGATTGTAGCCGAAGATCAATATGGGAGTTTGACTTGGAAGTGTTGCTGGTGCTAATTGAGGTGGTGTTTTTGGGTTTGTGACGAGACTGTAATTGTTAGTGATTTAAAATATTGTGAATTGGTGAACAGATTTAATATTTATTTTAATTATTTATAATTTAAATAATTATGTTTGAATAAAAATTATTTATTGAAAACAGTTATGTAATAAGAGAGTTACAATTATTAAATGAATAATTATCTTTAAATAGAAACATTTATTTATAATAGTTATATAACAAAAAAAATTATAACTATTTAAACAAACAAACATGATTATTTATCAAAATGACATGTTTATTCATCAACTATAAATAAATTTTTATGCATAATCACTTCATCACTTTTGATTAGTAAATTTGAGATTTTATTATATCCTAAAAACATAATTATCTTTAAAAAATATTTTTCATAACTCAAAGCAAAATTTTTTATTTTATTTATTTATTTATTTAATAATTTAAAGATAATTATGTGAAATTCATATTTATGAGAAAGATACAAGAACAATAGATTAACAAATTTGGCAAAATTTACTTTTAAAACATGCATTGAAAGTTTCAAATATCCAAATGATTTTTTGTTTTCATTTTGCATCAAAAGAAAATTATAAAAGTGTTGCAAATTCATTGGTGTTCATATATGCAATTGATTCAATGTTTCATCTTGTTGAATGAATTTAATTTCGTTATTATTTTTACATTGCTTCGACTGAAATTTATTAATTGATAATTCCAAAATTCCAATTGAAATGGATTTGATATTTTAGCAGGTGGTAGTGCAAAATTATTGGAATGGATTTAAAAATGATTTTGAATAGAAATAAAAAAATATTATATACTATTTGCTTGATTGAATTTTCTAATTAAAGTAGAATAGTGAAAAACATAAGACTTTTATAATAAAATTACTATTTTGATATAAAAAATAAAATATTTTATTAAAATGTGTTACATGGCCGTCATATGTTTAAACCAAATGATACTATTTTATGCATATAATAATTTTTTAGAATCATATTTCATGACTTGCTTTGGTATGGTAATCTAGATATGAACATATTAATCATAAAATGATTGTAAAAGCATTTGAAATTGGAAGTTTTCAATACCATGAACTTGGAATTGGTAATTGGGCAATTAATACATTGGAAACTCATAGATAATATTTGAAACAATTGGTTTTCACTAAAAGTAATTAATATAAATGAGATAGTCTCAATAGTCAAATCTACATGATTTGATGTATAATGTGGATTATTATGATTGACTTAGAACAGCCATAAGCCAAAATTGATAACACAATCTTAATTACGTTATACTAATTTTTGGTTATGTATATACAATAAATATTATTTTTAGTGGAAAAAAATTGTCACTAAAAATATAAAATTTAGTCACTAAAATTTATAATAATCAATTTTAGAGTTGTCACTTGTTGTCATAAATAACTCAGTCACTATTGTATTAGTGACTATATTTATTAAGTCACCACAAGAGCATTTTTTTTGTAATACAAATTTTGACACTAAAAGTATTAGAATATGTTACTAAAATAAGTTGTTACAATAGCTCATTTTATTATGACAATTTTTTCGACTCTAAAAAAATTAAAATAGTGACAAAAAAAGTTGTCACAATAACATAGCTTTCTTGTGACATTAACTCTAAAAGTATAGCAATAGTTATAAAACTATAGTCACTCATGTTATTTTATTAGGGACAAAATTTTCTTCACTAGTGTTCATTGAAATAGTGTTAAATGAATTATGTCACAAATATTAAAATTATTTATTGCAACAATTATTATCACTAATAAATTAGTTATTGTCATAATAAAATTTGTCAATTTATAAAAAAAAAAAACTATCATTAGTGACTATAAAAGATAAATTGTCACAAAAAATTACATTTGTAATTACAAAATAATAGTAACTAAAAAGTTGTTTCAAAATAAAATATGATTATAGTGACATAAAAATGTGGTCACCTCATCTATTTTAAAAATAAAAAAATGATAACAATAATGATAAATAAAATACCAATAAATATATATATTATGTTTTTAATTTTCTAAATCCAATCTCAAAAGTAATATCCAAAATACAATTATCAATAAAATCATATTAGTATTTTTCTATCAAAAACTAAATAATTATTAAAAAAAAGTTTTAGTCCACAAATATGATAATGCCCAAGTTGAAATCCAAGCTACAGTTGATCCCAGTAAAGTTTACTTTTCATTATTTTCCTACAAAACAAACAAAAATAAGAAAAAAAATTATCTTATATAATTGTTATTATAATATTAATAAGTTACATTAATTATTGTACTTACATCATTACTTGAAGAATTTGATGTAGATGCATGGATAAGAGATTAGAAATTAATCCTTCACCTGCTAAACATGCAAATACATCTTTTACTTGTTTCAATTCCATAGTTTGTTTCTCAATTGTCTTACCTTAAGCCATTAGTTCTTAACGTTGAGCGTCCATATTCTTTTGAAGTTGGAAGTTGGCCTCTTTTTTTATTTTTTTTATTTTGTGATTTCAGTAAGCCTTTCAACCTCTTTCTTTGCACATTTCTTTCCAGCCTCAACTTCTGCAATAATGCGACTTTTTTCTTGAGAGGTAGATGTGATCCATCCAATACCTACATCACATGAGCAATTTGACTTTGTTCCTAAAATAAGAGCAAAATGCTTCACTAGTGGTATTGATACAGATGAAATCTTATCTTGATTTTTCTTACCTTTTTGTTAAAGTTTGTTTTATATTGTATGAATAATAATTAAAGTTTTTCAAATTAATAAATTTAGTATTAAATCACAAACAAAAT